CTGTAGACTCCAGCTCTTGTGAGGAGCAGGAGGAGGAAGAGGAAGAGGAGGGGGAGGAGGAGGAGGAGGAGGAGGAGGAGGAAGACCCCGCCATGTTTTCCTCCAAATTCCTAAGTGGAGCCAACCCCCTAAATGCTGTGTCCTCTGCTGTGAATAAGTTTGGATTATTTGGCGATGATGGGGAAGGGGATAAAAATCAGAAATCACCTTCTAAGCAAGGGGTACCGCCACCTGGAGAACAGCAACCAGGAGCAGGCCCTGGCAAAAGCCCTCAACCGCAGCAGGGACCCCAAAAATCTGGCCAGGGCCCCTCTATGCAAAAGAGCCAGCCTCCTCCTAAACAAGGGTCACCACAGCTGCATGGGAATGGACAGGCAGGACCCCCAAACAAGCCTGCCGGGCAACAAGTTGCTCAAAAGGCGGGGACACAGCCTAAGGGTCCCCCACAGAATGGTTCACCTAAATCCGGACATCAACAAGAACCTTCAAAGGCACCATCACAACAACAGGTTCCACCTAAGACAGGGATGCAAAAACAAGGGCCTGCAAAGTCTGGCGCGCAAGACCCCACAATGGCTGGGTCACAAAGAACTGGCACACAGCAAGGGTCACCTAAAGTAGGACAGCAGCAGCAGCAGCAGCAGCAGCAGGGGTCGCCAAGATCTGGACAGCAACAACAGGGTTCCCCTAAAGTAGCCCAGCAACAACAGGGTTCAACAAAGGCAGGACAGCAACAGCAAGGAGTCAGGACTACACCACAGCAGCAGTCCTCGGTTAAACCCGGGCCTCAGCAGCAAGGCACTAAGGGACCTGGAACACCTGGCCTGTCTCGGACAGGGTCTTCATCACAAGGGGCGACCAAAGCTGGATCTCAGTCAAAAGCAGCAGCTAAGCCTCTTTGCCCTGTGTGTAAAACAACAGAACTTAATATGCACACCAAGGAACCACAGAACCATAAAACATGCACACAGTGTAAAACGGACGTGTGCAGCTTCTGTGGCTTCAGCCCTCCAGACTCTGATGTAAGTACAGTACATTTTCTTTTTTACTATAGTGTCTTCTAACAGAATTCTGCTTTTTAAAGTATATACATTTGGCTCTTAATTTTACATGATTTTTAACTGACAATCGAAAACTATTTCACTATGTAAGAAGTGCAATTTGAGAAAGCTCAGTGAGGTTACATCATTTAAATAGACTATGACACTGCATTATATGTATACCACACTATCAGAAATTCTATTTTTCAAGGTTACTATAATTGTTAAATGAAGAAAATAATATTTTTCTAGACCATTTTTTTGTCTTTAACTTCGAGCATCTATATTTTCTAACTGTGAAAATGTATTTATGTTTTCATTGTCTTTATAGGGGCGTGAGTGGCTGTGTCTTACTTGTCAGATACAGAGAGCCCAAGGAGCTTCTGAACCAACAGGACCTTCCATAAAAAAGCCCTCGCCCAACAAAGTCTCCCCTGCTCAAAGTCAACCATCTTCTGCCTCATCTGTGGCAAAAGAAATGGCGACATCAGGTTCATCTCAGAAAATGCAGTCTACTTCAGCAAAAGTGCCATCCAAGGGTGAAGTCGCTAAAGGACTAGATATTCAAAAACAGGCCAGCCCAGCGTCCATGCAGAAAATGACACCTGAGACTGAGAGAAAATCTGGGTCTCAAAAACCAGACCAGACTAGTCAAACTGGACGAAAACAAAGCAGTGCAGCTCCAGCTCCTCAGCAGGAGTCAGGAGGTTTATTTGGCTTCGGGGGCTCTAAACCTGTAGCTGCAAAGCCAGAGGAGTCAGTGACTGGAAAGATGTTTGGTTTTGGTTCCTCAATTTTTAGCTCTGCATCTACCTTGATAACCTCGGCTGTTCAGGATGAGCATAAAACCACACCACCAATTTCTCCCAAAATGCAGTCAACAAAAGAGACCAGACCACCCCCGGTACAAAAGTCAGTTCAAGACAAGAAACAAGAGCAAGTCACCGAAGGGAAATCCAATACAGTAGGACAGGACAAAGTGGCCAATGCTACTAAAGAGACTCCAAAGGCAGCAGCAGCAGCCTCCCAAAATGTCTCTAAATCAGGCCAAGCTTGTCCAATCTGCAAGATGGTGCTCAATAAGGGCTCAAAGGATCCACCCAACTACAACACCTGCACAGATTGTAAAAGTACGGTCTGCAACCAGTGTGGATTTAACCCAATGCCAAATGTTAAAGAGGTAAGACATGGTTGATATTGATCAATACGGTAACAAAGGGATAAATGAAGAATTGAATAAAGGGAGGAAGGAATTTTCAAATCTTTGAACTCTAATTATTGACATACATCATCATCTTTTTTATAAATTCTGATGCACATTTCCTTTGCTTCCATAGTTCATAGATAACCAGTCAGCTGGTACAGTCTAATTTGTTACACTATTGCTTATTATCGCTGAGGTGTTCATTACGTAGAAACAGTAAAGTAGTACACAAACAATCCTTGTAAACTAAGGCTTTTGAAGCAGAACAATTCCTTTTGATGTTTAGGGTGGTTCATTATTCTATTGTTTTTCCAAATGGTTCAAAAATATTTACATGAATACATGTAATTGCTGCAATCATTTCAAGTCACACAGTTTAAGTTCATCTTATGATAAAAGGCATGTTTTGGATTTTTTTTTTAAATGAAATAACTTTAGTGATGAATGTTTTGGGCCAATCCTACGACTATAGCTGACTAAGCTGCAAAGCCATCTTTCTTAGCCTTCTTTTCAATATTCCACTCACAGTTCTCTAGCCTCAAAACAGTCAGGCTGTAAGAGGGGTATGTGTCAGACCTTCAGACAGAAAAAAAAACATCTGCACACGCCTCCTGGGTCATGGCCTTTCCCTTAAGTCCTTTTTGGATTGTAGTAATTATATTTAAAATAATTTATAGTTAGTTAAAAAGCTGTAGGGAAAATACACATACATTTTAACCACATAAACACACAGCACATGGGGATTGTCTTGCAGGGAATACCACATACAGGTTTAATGGACGTGGCTTCTTTCAGGGTATCTGAGACACAAAGGGCCTGACACTTGACTCTTGTAATTCAATGCACAGTTAGTAAGCTAACTTGCCAAGGACAGTAGGGAGGCTACTTGATCAGGTGATAATGCTTAAACTGAAACAGTGGTGAACCAAGATCAGGATTGGTAGATCCATCGGTGCTTCTGAACCCCTCTACAGCTGATATTTGAACTTTAATTTGTATAGTGTAAACGTCATTGTAAATACTGTAACTTTGCTTACTTATTTATGAGCTTACCTCAGCAGTTTTAAAATGATTGATTTAGCTCACTGTTTTTTTCTGTTAGGAATACATTTTTACTTTGTGTTTATTATATTTCAAGCTTTCATTGTGCACTGTTATTTTTAAACATATGCATGTATAATTTGTTTATTTGTTTGTGTTTTTAAGGGAAAAGAGTGGCTTTGTCTCAACTGCCAGGTGAAACGGTCTACTGGCGAAATTAAAACTCATCAAGAGAAATCTTTGGTCGACTCATCAATTAAAAAACCTACCCCAGCACAGCCTGTTCTACAGAAGACTTCTGCACCAGGCTCCCCTCAGAGAAAAGTATCCACTCCAGCAGCACAAGTGGTAAAGGCAGAAGCTGCTAAAGGGCCAGAAAGTTCTAAACAAGCTAGCCCAGCTCCTGTTCAGAAAACACCACAAGAGAGCCGGAAGACGACGCCTCAGAAACAACCAGACCATCCAAGCCAAACCGGACAAAAGCAGGGAAATGTCACTGCAGCTACCCAACAGGAGACAGGCGGGTTCTTTGGTATTGGCAGTCCTAAAAGTCAGAGAGATGCTGCAAAGCCTGCTGAGTCAGTGACTGGGAAAATGTTTGGTTTTGGTTCCTCTATCTTCAGTTCTGCATCCACTATGATTTCCTCAGCAGTTCAAGATGAGCCTAAAACAACCCCACCGATTTCTCCTAAAATCTCTGCTGCAAAGGACTCCAAATCCCCCACTACCCAGAAATCAGATCAAGAAATAAAAACAGAACAACTCCACCATACCAAGGGTCCTTTACCAGCACAACCTAAAGTACAAAAACCTCTTTCAGATCCACCGAAGAAAGATTCAGCCTCCGCTGCAATTTCCATATCAGGCCAGTCTACCTGCCCTCTTTGCAAACTGCAACTCAATATGGGCTCTAAAGAGCCTTCCAACTACAAAACCTGTACAGACTGCAGAAATACTTTCTGTAACCAATGTGGATTTAGTCCCATGCCAAACGTGAAGGAGGTAAGCTCATGAAACTGCTGTTGAATACAGAAAATCTACCTCAACAAGATTATCCCATTCTTTCTTTTTTATTAACTATGTAATACATTTATTTTTTACAAGTGAATTACATTCCATTGCACAAGAATACTGATCTTAATTGTGCTTATTAACTGTTTGTTTTCATACAGGTGAAGGAGTGGTTATGTCTTAATTGTCAGATGCAGAGAGCACTCGGAGCATCTGAGCCTCCTGGAACTCCCATGATGAAACAACAGGCCTCACCAAACAAAGTCACAGCACCTGCCAAAGACGTACAAAAAGAGACTTGCCAACTAGATAAATCTGAACAGAAAGACATTCCAACACCTTCTGGATCTAAAATAAAAGAGGCATCTTTGCCAGGCTCCCCTCAGAGGAAACCAGTAACACCAGCAGAGCAGTCTGTAAAACCTGAAGTCATTAAAAGTGCTGAAAGTCAGAAACAAGTCAGCCCAGCACCTGGTCAGAAAACTATGCAGGAGGGCCGGGCGCCAGATCCTCCGAAACAACCAGACAAGACAAATCCATCTGAACGTAAGCAAAGTAATACTGCCTCGGCTAAACAAGAGGGATCTGTAGGCTTCTTTGGATTAAGTGGTCCCAAAGCTCAAATTGATTCTGCAAAGCCTTCAGAATCACTAGGTGGGAAAATGTTTGGATTTGGCTCCTCTATCTTTAGTTCTGCATCAACTATGATGAACTCAGCTGTCCAAGATGATTCCAAAAAGACACCACCTGTTTCTCCCAAGATCCCTGCCACGAAGGCAACGAAATCCCCTCCTGCTCAGAAACAAGAGCAGGAGAAGAAACAAGAGCAAGTGCAACAACCGAAAGCCTCTCCATTACAACAAGCCAAGGTAGAAAAAGCTCCATCAGAGCCTCTGAAAGATGTAGCAGCTTTCCCATCTGTTTCCAAGGACGGCCAAACTACTTGTCCACTATGTAAAGTGAAACTTAACATTGGATCCAAGGAGTCTCCCAACTACAACAAATGCACTGAATGCAAGAACACTGTCTGCAACCAATGTGGATTTAATCCAATGCCAAATGTGTCAGAGGTAATTAAAGCAAAGATGTCAGTAATTTAAATAATTGCATGAATGTAAAGTCAATGTCAATTAATTTTGCATCATTTCTTTTTTTCAGGTAAAGGAATGGCTATGCCTCAACTGTCAGATGCAGAGAGCTCTTAGGTCTTCTGAACTCACAGCACCTCCAATGAAACCTCATAATTTAGCCAGCAAAAAAAACCCATCTACTGCAGATGAGAAAATAAATATACCTAATCAAAAGGAAACTCTTAAAAAGGAACAGCCAAAATTGGATGAACCTTTAAAAATGGCAGCTCCAGTGGCTGATACACTTCACAAGAAGGGGAATTCTGCGCCAGGGTCTCCTAAGAAAATACAGCCTTCAACAGTATCATTAGCTAATAAGGCTACAAAAGGATCAGAGACTGACACACAGGAGAGCCCATCCAAGAAACCAACTTCCCAGTTAGATGAACTGGGAATAAAACAGAGAAAAGTCACCCCAGATGCAGGGCAGGAGACAGGAAGCCAATTTAGCATTGGTGGTCCTAAAACAAAGACAGATGCTTCAAAAACAACAGAGTCTGTGACTGGGAAGATGTTTGGCTTTGGGTCTTCCATTTTTAGCTCAGCATCCACCTTGATATCATCCGCTGTTCAGGACGAATCACGCACTACACCACCAAGCCCTCGTAAGATGTCTGCACCAGCACATGTTTCCCGAAAGATGTCCACCGTGCCCCAGATTTCTCCAAAAAGTACACCGTCAGTCTCTCCCAAAATGTCGCCAGCAAGAGAGCCAAAATCTCCAATTCAGAAGCCAGAGCAGGAGAAAAAACCAGTGGAATCCGAACAGAGCAAAAAAGACAAAACTTTATCACAGCCATCAAAAGCAGCAACAACTACCCAAGCACACTCTAATACAACCCAGGACAGCTGTCCCCTGTGTAAGGTTGAGCTGAACTTCGGATCCAAGGCATCTCCCAACTACAGCAGCTGCACAGAATGCAAGACCACTGTTTGTATCCAGTGTGGATTTAACCCAATGCCTATGGGAGAGGTAAATTACATTTTTCACAACATATTGGACCAAGGGTATTATGTCTATATTTACTGCATACATCTGCAATAAATGTGTGGTAATACGATTTGTAACCTCTTTCAAATGATCTCATTTTGATTTTATTTTCATTCATATTCTATTTTTTTATAAATGCTCTACTTTTTTATCGATTTCTGCTATTCCACAGTTATACATAACAAGCTGTCTACTGTGTTTTAGGTCAAAGAATGGCTATGTCTGAACTGTCAGATGAAAAGAGCAGTTGAAGCATCTGAGCCTCTGGGGCATCCCACCATAAAGTCTCAAAAATCACCCAGCAAAGTTCCTTCACCTGCTGCTGTCCAATTGAAGGACAATTCCAAACCAACTGTAACGCAAAAGACAGACAGTCCGGATAGTGCTCAACTAAAGAAGGAGACCTCAGAACCAGTGTCACCACAGAGAAAGCGATCTACAGCATCAGCAACTGCTACTTTACCAGTGAAACAAGCAAGTCCAGCAACAGATCATAAAGTACTAGAAGAAAGAACAAAGACAGGTCCAAAGAAGCCACCAGACCAAGAAAGCATAGCTCAACGCAAACACAGTAATACCACAGCAGGGACACAGCAAGACTCAGGAGGCCTCTTTGGCTTTGGTGGTCCTAAAAATCAACCTGATGCTGCAAAGCCTGCAGAATCAGTTACTGGGAAGATGTTTGGTTTTGGGTCTTCTATCTTCAGTTCTGCATCTACTTTGATGACCTCAGCAGTTGACCAGCCCAAAACTACTCCACCAGTTTCTCCCAAGATGTCTCCTGCAAAAGATATGAAGTCTCATGATGCTCAGAAGCTTGAGCAACAGAAGAAAGCAGAGCACTCCCTGCAGACCAGTGCAACTCCACCAGGACAGGTCAAAGCTGACAAAACCCCATCAGCATCTTCAAAGGCTACAGAAGCCTCCCAAGTACCTGTCAAACCAGGCCAGTCTAACTGTCCACTCTGTAAGGCTGAACTCAATACCGGTTCCAAGGATCTACCAAACTATAATACCTGCACTGAATGCAAGAGCACTGTCTGTAACCAATGTGGATTCACCCCCATCCCTACAGGAGAGGTAGGTTAAGGAAAACATAGATACCTTTTGTTACAAAATAAAGTAATACTTTATATACCGTAAATGTCTCTATTATCATTGCAGTCAGTGGATTTATATTGTAGACTTTTTTTAATATTCATAAGCTTATTACAATTACCTTACTGATCTTTAGTATGGTTCAAATGAATCTGTTATTCTGCATATTCAGATTGTTATGAACTGTTTCTATTTGCAACTCAAAAGCAAAACATAACCATATATCTGTAATTTTAGGTAAAAGAGTGGCTATGTCTGAACTGTCAGATGAAAAGAGCAGTTGAAGCATCCGAGCTGGGGCATCCCACCATAAAGTCTCAAAAATCACCCAGCAAAGTTCCTTCACCTGCTGCTGTCCAATTGAAGGACAATTCCAAACCAACTGTAACACAAAAGACAGACAGTCCAGATAGTGCTCAACTAAAGAAGGAGACCTTAGAACCTGTGTCACCACAGAGAAAGCAATCTACAGCATCAGCAACTGCTACTTTACCAGTGAAACAAGAAAGTCCAGCAACAGATCATAAAGTACTAGAAGAAAGAACAAAGACAGGTCCAAAGAAGCCACCAGATCAAGAAAGCATAGCTCAACGCAAACACAGTAATACCACAGCAGGGACACAGCAAGACTCAGGAGGCCTCTTTGGCTTTGGTGGTCCTAAAACTCAACCTGATGCTGCAAAGCCTGCAGAATCAGTTACTGGGAAGATGTTTGGCTTTGGGTCTTCTATCTTCAGTTCTGCATCTACTTTGATGACCTCAGCAGTTGACCAGCCCAAAACTACTCCCCCAGTTTCTCCCAAGATGTCTCCTGCAAAAGATATGAAGTCTCATGATGCTCAGAAGCTTGAGCAACAGAAGAAAGCAGAGCACTCCCTGCAGACCAGCACAACTCCATCAGGACAGGTCAAAGCTGACAAAGCCCCATCAGCATCTTCAAAGGCTACAGAAGCCTCCCAAGTACCTGTAAAACCAGGCCAGTCTAACTGTCCACTCTGTAAGGCTGAACTCAATACAGGTTCCAAGGATCTACCAAACTATAATACCTGCACTGAATGCAAGAGCACTGTCTGTAACCAATGTGGATTCACCCCAATGCCAACAGGAGAGGTAAGTTAAGGAAAACATAAATACCTTTTCTTTCAAAATAAATTAATGCTTTATATTACTGATCTTTAGTATGGTTTAAATGAATCTGTTACTCTGTATATTTGGATTGTTATGAACTGTTTCTATTTGCAAATCAAAAGCAACACATAACCATATATCTGTAATTTTAGGTAAAAGAGTGGCTATGTCTGAACTGTCAGATGAAAAGAGCAGTTGAAGCATCTGAGCCTCCCAAAATGAAGTCTCAAACTGCTCCTGGTAAAGTTCCTTCACCTGCAGCAGCCCAGCTGAAGGACTCTTCCCAACCAATTACATCTCAAAAGACAGAAACCTCCGTACCAGTCTTACCACAGAGGAAACCGTCTACAGCATCGTTGCAGACAGCCAAATCAGAGGCTGCAACTTTACCACTAAAACAGGACAGCCCAGCGCCTGATCACAAAAAAGCACAGGAAAATCAGAGGGTGGGTTCAAAGGAGCCACCAAAAGAAGAAAATCAAGGTGAACATAAACAGAGTAGTACAATAACTGCTACACAGCCAGAATCAAGAGGCTTCTTTGGTTCAGGTGGTAGTAAAACCCAACCAGATGCTCAAAAGCCTGCAGAGTCAGTTACCGGGAAGATGTTTGGCTTTGGTTCTTCTATCTTCAGCTCTGCATCTACTTTGATAACCTCAGCTAATGACCAACCCAAAACTACTCCACCAGTTTCTCCCAAGTTGTCTGCTGCAAAAGATATGAAGTCTCCTGATGCTCAGAAGCTTGAGCAGCAGAAGAAAGCACAGCAGTCCAAGGAGACCAGGACAACTGCATCAGAAAGGGTTGAGGTTGCCCCATTAGAGTCTTCAAAGGCGATAGAAGCTTCCCAAGTACCTGTCAAACCAGGCCAGTCTACCTGTCTACTCTGTAAGGTCGAACTCAATATCGGTTCCAAGGATCTCCCAAACTACAGTTCCTGTACTGAATGCAAGAACACTGTCTGTAAGCAGTGTGGATTTAACCCTAGTCCAAATGACACATCGGTAAGAATTAGACCATTTAACTTTTACAGATTCTTGAATGTAAATCATTTTATTCAACTAAACATTCACTAAATTTGTCTTGTTGACTTTTAAATTCCTGTTGATTTCAATTCTTCTTTCAGTTCTGAAATTTTGCATGCCTTTTTTTTTCATAGGGTAATACATATTGAGGTTTCCAATTAGTTTATCTTACTACACACACAGACACACACACACATAAATAAACATGTATGAAATATAATAAAACTATTCTAATTGCAATACACAAATACAATCCAAGATTAATAATACACAAAATGTCTAAAACGGTAAGATAAGTGTAAAATGACATCCCTTATTTCTTTTAGGTGAAGGAGTGGTTATGTCTCACCTGCCAGATGCAAAGGGCTCTCGGAGACACAAAGCCTCCACATGTAGCTCCCACCAACTTGCAAATATCTGCAAGCCCCAAAGACGTCACCGGCCCAACTGAGCCTGAAAAGAAAGAGCCACCATCAAGAGACTTATCTCAAAGGAAACCATCTGTACCAGCACAGCCAGATACAGTTGAGACTGCTAAAGAGCATGGAGGTCCAAAACAGCTCAGCCCAGCTACTTCTCAAAGAAGGCCACAGGAGCCACAGAAAACACCTGGTCCAAACAAATTATTTGAACAGCCAAGGCAAACTGAACGTAAACAGAGTATTGCCCCAGAAGTGACTTTGCAAGAGTCTGGAAACTTCTTTGGGTTTGGTTCTAGTAAAACTCAACCTGATGCTGTAAAACCAGCAGAGTCAGTAACCGGTAAGATGTTTGGCTTTGGTTCTTCTATCTTCAGTTCTGCATCTACTTTGATAACCTCAGCTGTTGACCAGCCCAAAATTACTCCACCAGTTTCTCCAAAGATGTCGCCTGCAAAAGAGATTAAATCCCCTGCTGCCCAGAAAAACGAACAACAGAAGAAGTCAGAAGAACCCAAACAAACACCGCAAAACGTCCAGGCCAAAGGGGACAAAGCTCCATCAGAGATATCAGTAGTCCCCCAAGCCACTGTCAAACAAGGCGTGTCAACCTGCCCACTCTGTAAGCTTGAACTCAACATTGGGTCCAAGGATCTTCCCAACTACAATACCTGCACCGAATGCAAAAACGCTGTCTGTAACCAGTGTGGATTTAACCCCATGCTAAATGTGTCAGATGTAAGTGAGATTCACTAAGCATGTTTGTAATAATGATGCAAATTACTTGATAAAACTATATCATACCATTCTATAAACGGATGACATATTTGATCTAAAACAAAATGTGTTACATTTTTGTTGAACTGTACTACAATGCAATTATAGTGACTTATCTAAAAGACATTCTTACTAAATAGAGTGTGTGCTCTCCCCACAGGTAAACGAGTGGTTGTGTCTCACTTGTCAGATGCAAAGGGCTCTTGCAGCATCTGAATCATTAGAGCCTCCATTGATGAAACCTAAGGCATCCCCCAACAAAGTGTCCTCAACTGCTGATGCTCATAAAGATGCACCTGCGCATCAAAAGAAAGAGATTATTTCTGCACAAAAAATTGTGCCTGACAAAATCCAGGGCAGTCCAACACCGGGTGCCCAGGAAATTAAAGAAGAAACTATATCCACACATCAAATGGATGGTACTCAAACAACTACCACTGACAAGCTTGTTGCAAAAGATTCCCAAGATTCTGTTTCAGCCCCAACAAACGATGGAAAGGTTACAAGGGATACAAAGGCTATTCCCACCTCCCATGCACTTCCTGGTAGAGAGACAACTGCTGTGGTTTCAGACTTGAATAAACCACTGCCTGCTAAAACTTATCCTGTCACCACAGAAACAAAAGATGAGAAATCTGTTACCGTGCAGAAATCTGTTGAACAACTGATCACATCCCATGATAAAGTCCAGCCCCCAAAAACATTGAGCAAGGAATCAAGCACTGTAGAAAAATTACTAGCCAAACCTGCCCCTCCATCAACACAGCAAGAAAATCAAGATTCAGGAGGTTTCTTTGGCTTTGGCAGTCCTAAATCTCCGAGAGCTTCCTCAAAAACAACTGACGCAGTCACTGGAAAGATGTTGGGATTTGGTTCATCCCTCTTTAGCTCAGCATCCAGCTTGATAACGTCTTCAGTTCAGGAGGAGTCCCGCACAACACCACCAAGTTCCCGCAAAATGTCTGCTCCAGCTCAAGTTTCTGACAAAATGTTAGCATCACAGAGGTCCAGCCCTCCTGTTTCTCCCAAGATGACTTTAGCAAAGGAAAAATCTTCTGATCCTGAGGTACCAAATCTGGAAAAGATTCCTATCCAACTTCAGCAGACCGAGGCTCCTTTGTCAGAAAAGGCAAAAGTGAACAATGTTCCAGCAGAAGCCTACCAAGCTGCTCCCAAAGTGGACCAGTCTGTTTGTCCACTCTGTAAGACAGAACTGAATATGGGCTCTAAGGATCTTCCCAACTACAAGACATGCACTGGATGCAAATCCACTGTCTGCAGTAAATGTGGCTTTAATCCCATGCCAACTGCAACAGAGGTAATTAAATCATTGTCCACAAAAAAATATGAATAACCATCTTTTTTAAGTACATTTTGTTTGGAATTGTTTAAATACAAATGTATATTCCTTGTTCCCTTGCCCTAACATACATGTCTTAGAATTTCTAAAAAATACACATGTATTTTGAATACTGCATTGAAGGGCTGTATTGAGATTTTTTTGTGAATTTAAATGGAAAGAATGTTACTCATTGTATTCTTTTCTTCTTCAGCAGAAGGAATGGCTTTGCCTCAACTGCCAGATGCAAAGGGCCCTAGGAGCTTCTGAACCTCCAGGCCTCCCCATGATAAAACCCCAACCATCACCAAGCAAAGAGGTCCCTGCCGAAACTCAGCAGAAAGAGACACCCATGTTAATTTCTCAGGATGACACCCTTAAACCTCCCGCAACCTTGACTGAGCTAGTCAATGTAGCTCAGACCAAAGAAACCACAACTTCAGCCCTTGATGCATTAACAAAGACAGAGGCCCCTCCAGAGGTTCCATTGTCAGACAAAGCTGTTCCATCAACTATAACAAAGACTGATGTCTCACCAATCCCTTCTACAGAGACAACCAAAGGAAAGCCTGGTGCGCCTCAGCAGCAAGCCCCTAAAGTTGTGACTTCTACTGCTAAGTCTATTCCTCAAACAGATCCAAAGGCAGGACAGCCAGCACAACAAAAGCTGCCACAAGCTGTGACTTCTATCGCCAAGTCTGCTCCTTCACCTGATCCAGAAGTGAGAAAGCTACCCCCACAACAAGCTGCAAAAGCAGGTAGCTCTCCAGCAAAGTCTGTACCACCGCCAGCTCAGTCTCCAAAACCGGAGTCAGGAGGCTTCTTTGGCTTTGGTGGTCCTAAAACAACGCCATCTGCAGCAAAGTCTGCTGAGTCGGTGACTGGAAAGATGTTTGGCTTTGGGTCCTCTTTCTTAAGCTCTGCATCAACTTTAATAACCTCTGCTGTCCAGGATGAACCTAAAAATACACCACCATCTCCACGTAAAATGTCAGCTGCAGCCCATGTTTCTCCTAAAACTACACCACCAGCATCCCCCAAAACATTGCCTGCAAAGGATATCAAGCCACCTGCTTCTCAGACACCTCAGGAGAAGAAACCAGATGAATTACAACAGGAGAATACTCCTTCAAAAGAACAAACCAAAGTAATTAAAGTTCCACCAGAGCCACCAGAAAGCAAAAGTGCTCCCAAAGCAGAACTATCCATCTGTCCACTCTGTAAAGTTAAACTAAACAGAGGCTCTAAAGATCCTCCGAACTACAACACTTGCACAGAGTGCAAGACTAATGTCTGCAACCAATGTGGATTTAATCCCATGCCAAATGTGGCAGAGGTAAATAACTTGCTCTAATTTGACATATGATATTGAAGAATAAAAGTTAATTTGATGATTTGATTTGAATAAGACAATTTTACTGTAAAATGAAATGTTATATACCATAACAGTTTAGTATGGCAATTAAGAATAACTCAACATACATCCTCATAGATAATGGAGCTGATGATTTATTTTGATCCTAGGTACGTTTAAGCTTCTATGAAAGAGAATTTGAAAAAACACATGTGACACAGAAATGACAGAAGAAGTAAAACAATTTGACACAGCTAATTTAAAACAAATTCAAGTGTCCCGCAAAATATGAAATCTTTGGTTTATCAATCATAATCAGATTGTTTCTTTTTAATTCACCAATAGCTGATATATTTCATTGCTCTTTTTTCAGGTAAATGAATGGCTTTGTCTCAACTGCCAGATGCACAGAGCTCTAGGGGCATCTGAGCCTGCTGGACGCCCTGTCGTGAAACCGCAACATTCCCCAGGGAAGGTTCTTACACCTGGCTCTGAACAGACGAATAAACCAGCAGTAATCCAGAAGGAGAAGCCCTCAGAGTCACCAGTAGTCAAAAAGGAGATCCCTCAGGCAACATCCCAAAGAGGAGAAACCCCCAAAGCTGAGGCTCCTTTGCCAACTGCAGTTAAAAGGACAGACCCACCAGGAGAAGACTCTTTGCAAAAGACACAGATCCTTTCAAGTACTGAGAAAGGACATGGCAAGAATGTGGCTAGTGAGCAGAAGAAGTTTGAAGAAAACGCTCCAAAGGTACAGCCTCCTCAAACTACTGTGCCAGTAATCAAGGCAGGTCCTACGAAACAAGAAGTTGTAAAATCGCCACAACAGCCCTTAAGATCTGCTACCCCTCCTGTCAAATCTGCAACACCAGCAGCTCAGCCTGCTAAACAGCAAGAATCCGGAGGTCTCTTTGGCTTTGGTGGTCCTAAAACTCAACCTGCTGCTGCAAAGTCAGCTGAGTCAGTGACTGGGAAGATGTTTGGTTTTGGTTCATCTCTTTTCAGCTCTGCATCTACATTGATTACAACAGCTGTTCAGGACGAACCTAAATCTACCCCACCTACACCACGTAAGATGTCAATTACAACCCAAGGCTCTCCTAAATCTACCCCACCTACGCCGCGTAAGATGTCAATCACAACTCAAGGCTCTCCTAAACCTACACCTCCAGCTTCACCCAAGATGCCCTCTGTGAAGGAGACGAAACCACAGACATCTGAACCACCTCAAAAAGCCAAGCCCAATGAACAGGCAAAAGAAGTGAAAGCTTCACCTATGGAAGTGAAACAAGTCGCTCCTAAAGCTAGTCTGTCCACTTGCCCTCTTTGTAAAGTAGAACTCAACATTGGCTCCAAAGACCCTCCAAATTACGACACCTGCACTGAATGCAAGAACACTGTGTGCAGTCTTTGTGGATTTAACCCCATGCCTCATACATCAGCAGTAAGTGATATACATTTGTTTTCACTTTTAAACATGAAATGTAGCATACATGTTAATATTGTAAGCCACATCTACATCTTAGCATATAACTGACAGCTATAAAACGGTGAGAGTTCTTATTTACTGAAAAGCACATATGTTTGTGTTATTAAATTAACATACTTATACATTTCTTTACATTTGATTGTAAACTCTTGCACAGCAAGCAGAACGTGCAAGCAGTACAATGGGCTTTTACTATTTCCATGACTTCTTTTTTATGTAAAAGGCTGGAATCTGGGAGATTGGCATCTTTTTTCCAAGGAAAAAGCAGCCAGCAATATATTGAATATTCTTTTCACAGACCATAAATAGTATAGAATGGAGGAATAGTAAATTAGGTTGCCAGAGCACATAAAATGTATGGAGAGCTTCCTTGAAACTATGTTTCTTTGAAAATACATCTGTAGGCTGTTAATTATCATGATCCATGTGAATTATTGACCCTAACCCTTCTTGGGGTGGTAAAACGATATTTTAAAGATACTTCCCTCCAGAAGAGTGACCTGAGACATTACATAACTGCTCATGAGAGGAGTGCATCAGCAGACTGGCCGCTCTGAAAATGAATTAAAGTGATTGAAGGTTGTGCAACAGCATTAGCGAGATGGGATCTGCTGCCATAGCAGACCAGGGAACAGGGAATCTCCACCCCCGTGAGAGATCTGAGACGTCAGAGCCCCGTGATATGCCAATAAGCAGAGGTGACAAGGATTTGGTCCAGTATAGCACAGTTTAGTACATTAGAGCAGCAGACATTTCCTTTCAGGCCATCTGCTCTCCACAGAACAGTGACTCCATCTAATTCGACTGTTTTCCCATCATTTCATGTGGGCGGCAGTAGTTCATGTGTACCTGTGTATATGTACACAAATATTAAATGCAAGGCTGTGTAACCAGGCCTTTCTATTTCTTATTGTTATTTATTGTCTGTTGCTGCCTTGAATAATGTGTAGGTTTGTTAGGCAATTAGATTAATTTGTTTGAATACTTAAAAGACCAAGTGTTTCTTACAGACAGTTAAGAATATGAAAAATTGACTGTCGGTTAACAAAGATCATCTCTCTAGTGATTGAGTAAATGTCAGCATTGTTTTTCTTTTTGTTTATTTCTGCATTCACTCTGATTTCCCAGAAACGGATTACCACATGCTCAGTCCAAATGGTGCGTCGTTATGGAGAAATAACACTGACAGAGATTTGCCTGTTATGTAATTGACACTTCTCACGTTTTACATGGACACCAGAGAGGAGGGATGAGCCTCAGGGTAGACTTCTGATGGGGGAAGGGACAAACATGGATGATTGCTGCTGTGTACAGTACATAATAGATTCATGCCCCCAAACAGCCGACAAGAACAGAAATAGCTTAGCTTAAACAGATGTGTTAAGGATGAGTCGCCATACTTATTGCTGCCCTGCTTTATCCAAAGGGTCTATGACTGCCAGTTCTCTATCACGATTGTGTGTGGCTTCTTTAGATAGGCAGACATAATGGCAAGGACTTGAGGTTCAAAAGGAGAGAGGCCACTTTGGGCAAAGTGAGCACTAGCTGTATCCATTTTTTTCGTTTTGCCTGTTCTGCTTGAGCTGATACTATCAAAGGCCTGTGAGTGACTCTTGTCTGTTAAGTAGGGCACACGTGTGTCCTGCTTTGCCAGCTTGTGCTTGTGTGTGACAAACAGGACAGTATGAAGTATATTTCCTCAGTATTTTTTGAAAAGTTTCTTTGCAGCCATATATGTCTTTTCCAGAGGAAGTTTTCCTGAATCGTTTCAATTAATCACAGGTAAAAGCTGCTGACCGTCGTATTGCTGAGCTTGCAAAAAATACTTATTTTTGACAAGATGCATTATGAATGACACACAGGCTAAGCAGAGGCTAACCATGCAGCACGTGAATTATTTTAATTGAAACCAACATTTTTATTGTCTTTACATACACAAGATGTTTTTTTTTTTTTTTTGCTGCAAGCCTCACAATCCCAGACTGTTAGCCCAATAATAACCATGAGACGTCCCGTGGTGCTTCTAGTGACAGTGTTAAAAATAGTCACTCTGAGGAGGGACCCAGCCCTGCCTACCTCCTGCATCCCTACTATTTTTAACCACCTCTTTAAAGGTCACATATTATTCAAAATACCATGTTTTTCTAACACTGTGTCTCCAGTCTGTCTACAAGCCCCCCAAATTATGAGAAAAGTCCATCCTCAACGTCTTTTACCTGCTTCACTTTTCAGAAAATAAGTGCTCAAACAGGCTGTTTAGAGATTTTCCCTTTGTGACATCACAAAGAGCAGTAAACCCTCCCCCACGTGGGTGACACTCCCATAGCTAGGTGTTTGTTCTGCACTGCCTCATCAATGCAAATAATAGGGCATTGCGCAAGAAAGCCTGAGCCAACCAAGCCCTTCCAGAGGGGCGTAGTCAGACACAGCTCATTTGCATATAGACACAGAAACAGCCCGTTCTGAGCATGGCTGAAATAGAGGGGTTAATTGGCATGATAAAATACAGGATCAGAGCGGATTTTTAACAAGAAGCTTCACAGACATGTTTTGAAGAGCTCGAGACTTATTTAAACTGCTTGAAAAGGATAATTATATGTGACCTTTAAAAAGTTTCAACTTGACAAAGTGTTAATTATGACCTTATCATTTCATCAAAAGTGGTAACACGTATCCCTCAAGCTACAATGATTGCTCTGATTGTGAGGATCCATGATTCTATTGTAATTATTAGATTCACAGGACCTTACCTTAGAGGTTAGGCCCTGTTAATATAACTTCTACTGTCTTGCCACACCTTCTATCTCACATTTGCAGATTGTCCACCCATTGTACCATTCCATCAAAAGAAGGTTCCTTCATATGCCATTTGACGTTTTCGAAAATTCACTTGCTGTATTCTATTTTGCTTCAGAATAAAGCACTCTGCTTATTACCTATTAGTAGGTCAACGTTCTCTATTATCTGGGGGCTTGATTTATAAGGAGTTCTGTTTTGGAGGGGTGTGCTGAAAGCTAAGTATATTTGCCAGCTACAGCTTGTGCCAAAGGCATCTGCCAGAAAATCAATAAGAAACTTGCCTGCTCCAGTATCAATAGCAGGGAGGCATAGAAGAGAGTCTGGGAAGAAGTGGTGTCGTCTACAGCCCAAATGCTGAACATCAGTTGAGCTTTAATGAAATGTAGTATCAGCACCACCCAGTGACTTGTGTTTTACAGTGTATAGAAGTGTGGGTTTGTGCAATACCGGTAATACAAAAATGACTGCATTGATTCATCAGATTGGAAATGCCGGAGTGCCAGAGCTTCTCCGTTAAGAGCAGTTTGATATATGAGTGTGCACTTTTTGTTACCTTGATTTACAATGCTGTTGTTGGACTGCACAACTGTTATACCTTATTCTAATGGCGAACAAGAATTATATCTTGTTTCAGGTATTCATAATGCATAATGGGATGTGCCAACTTTGTATGTGAGGATGTGTGTAATTGTGTAATTGGGAATACAGTAGAAAAATTAGGTTTCTCAATATGTTAATGTTTAAAGCTAATTTGTGCCTGATTTAGATGGATTTAACGAATAAGATGTAGCAGAGAGCCTTTTGCTGTGGGAAAAAAAGGGTACTGGGTAATTCTTTAAAGAGCTCTGCAGATCCAGTCTGATGCAGAATGCTTGTGTGTCAAGAGCATAATTTTCTGACTGCAGTCATTGGGAAGGTCTGGTAATCCAGCTTCCAGGCTAATCACAAGAAGCAGCCTCTCCCACGGATCTGTGCCCGGGGGCTCTTGCTCTTTACTTATAAAACATATTTAATTAGACAAAAGGATGATGGCCACTTTCCAGACCCTGTGGCTCTGAGTCATGGCTCTCAGACTGTGTGGCCGCGAGGCACTGCTGGCGCTGAAGGGGAATGTGATGGGATTAGTCCTTTTTTTTTGTTGACTTAGATGTTTTTTTGAAGTCTGATTTAAAACAGGAAGGTTAAAGGAGTTATCAGATGCAAGGCTGGTGCGGTGTTGAGACGGTGATGTTTATTGTAGCTGATTTATTTGGCATTAATTCGGAGTATAGTACACAATGCAAAAGCAACTGTTTGTTTGCATATGTAAACACTCAGTCCTTCCCTTGGTTAAAATGGGCAGCTATAATACTGAGGCTTGGACCTGTGTGATACCAGCACCTGGAGAGGTGTGAGGCCAGGGCCATATTTAAGTTGCAGAAGAAGGAGAATACAGTCGACAAGCAGAAACACTCCATCTGTGAACACTGCTCTTTGATCATTCTCCTGATAGCTCCTTTCAAGTTTGTCCTGTTAGAAGGCAGCAGAACTATGACAGGCAATGGGCCACCATTTCTGATTTAAATTGGATTTGCAAACGTGGTTTCTGACAATCCTAATCCTTTGAAAAACATCTGTATGTCATGTATCAATTGTCACTAAATATAAGGAGGTTACCCTGCAGCGACCTAAATATCAGTGTCAATATCAATATAATAATCTCAACGACAGACATATCCAGCATAGGACATTTTCCCTAATTATGTTTGAGCATCAGTATATATTGAGAAATAATAAAAAATGATCTGATCTTAAAATCCAGTGCATCCTTCTATCTTAAATGGATAAAGTGTTTAAACTGTCATATTATTTGAGATTATGGTTATGGCAGCTCAGGATTTCAGCTACACAGTAAAATAGATTTTTACATACACAGATATAGAGTTCAATTTATTTCTATTGCTGTAGATAACTAATCTATACATATAGGCAGCCTGTGAGGAGGTTTTGTGCTGTGTCTTTGAGGTGATCAGAAAACATATAAAGAGTTGGGAGTTTTTTATCACTAATTTATCATGTGAATGGACCCTCGATTGACATAACTTTTCTGATTAGCATTTGTATGTTAAGGATTTGCATTCCTTGTAATCTGTGATTACGCCCGGCAAGTGTTAGAGAAGAAGACAGGTGTGTTAAAATTGCATTATAGATGGATGTTTGAGGCAGAATAGCAGGAGTTACAGGTTTGATTTGTTAATAACAAAAAAGGATTTGCCTGAATAACATCCTTTAGTTTTAATCTGGAGCATTATAAACTCACTTTGTCCACCTTTGAAAGGTTATCATGAGTGAGAATAAGCCCGCATCAGATAACAGATGAAACTGAGATTTAAATGATTGATTGGCTTACATGATTATCAGCATTAGGCACTATGCTGATGAGGATTACCATACCAGAGTAACCACAGGTGACTGAACAAAAGCACCTTAGCTTCAATAAAACATTTTTACCCATGCAGCTCATCAAGCGTTGATTGAACATACTATTCATTGTAAAAACAGTCTCTTGAATGTTACAAAATTCGTTACACAACAAGATTAAACATAAATAGAATTTCTCTTACTGGTTCATTGGAACAAAGATTAATATTACCACAATACTACCAATGCACAGGACATGTAGCTCTGAATTAGTTATTCACATGTAAGTGTGTTCGGAATCAGAGATTGGCAAAATGTGTTTTTATAAAGTACTTAGACAGTTATTGTGGACATGTGGCCAAATTTGTTCCATAATAAGGATATAAGACAGTGTAAATGTGTTTTGGTTTGATACCTTATCTCTTGGATGAAGCACATAAAACTTAAATGGTGTTTCTCAAACAGGATATGTTGCGATGTAATCTCTGCCTCTGTCTGGTCTATCTGAACTGCTCTCCCTGGCTCTGCAGAGGCAGGCGCATTGCTGTGATTTGGTCTGCTAGGCTGCTACAGAAACACGTTTCATCTATTGACAGCTTGAGCCCTTTTTCTCTTCCTTAACAGTCAGCTTTTAAAAAGTATTACTTTTAAAATATGATTAGCTCTATTGCCAGGTAACATGTCTTATTGCTGTCTTGCATGTGTGGTCAATTCTAGCGTAATGCTAATAAGGATTTGAATATTTGGATTTCTATGAATTTGCTTTGGTTGCTTGAATTATGAGGGAATGAAAGTGTAGGGTGAAGGTTAGTACTGAAGGTACTGAAGGTCTTTGATATAACTCAGCATTTGAAAAAGGCCGGCTGTGATGGCAAAATGCTGATTCAGCATTCATTTTAATACATTATTACACAAGGTTGTTTTCCTTTTGTTTTTACGTTGATCTCTGTTGTGCTGATACTGATAGTATGTTTGTCTTTTTCATCACAGAAGGAATGGCTATGTCTGAACTGCCAGACTCAAAGGGCATTGTCGGGACAGCTGGGTGACTCAGGAAAAATGTCCCAGCATTACCTGTATCCGCAAAGCCAGAGACCTCAGCCCCTCCTGCAACCACAAAGGCAAAGCCCCAAACTCCCCCTACCAAGGCAGAGCCAAAACCTTCATCTGCAAAATCCGAGCCCACAACAGACCCCATCAAGGCAATACCAACAGTCCCGGGCCCAAAGGCAAAGATGGAGCCAACATCTGTCGTGTTAGAAACTACACCCACAGCAGCTTCCACACAAATCGAGGTCAAGACTGCAGTCTTACCCACAACAGCAAAGGCTCCACCTCTTATATCAGAAAAACTTCCTTTAGCAACATCCAAAACCGAAGTAACTGAACCCCAGGCCCTAATGAAGCAGACAGTAGAAACACCAATAGGGGACGTACCAAACACAGAAGTTCCCAAGACTGTAACAGTTGATAATAAGGAGGCAGTGAAATTGGTTTCCAGGGTGACAGAAATTCAAAAGGCTAAAGAGTCTAAACCTGATCTTTCAACAATCAAAGCTGAAGGACATGAAGCAGAGCCTCTTTCTATTCCAGTGACTGCAGCTACATCTGTACGGACTCCCACTATTTCTGAAGAGGTTGCTACAACTGTTCCAGGGATTGAAACAAAGCCAGAATTGTTTGCTCCAGAGAGGATTATTAAGGAAGTGCCGCAGGATGACCACATCAAACAGATAGAGCCAACAAAGTCTTTACAGCAAGATGAATTGCAACCAATGTCAGAGGAAGCACAGCGGGTATCAGAAGTAGAGCCTGGCAGCAAGAAAGTGGCAGAGAAGCCAGTTGGAAACATAGCTGATGTGACCTTAACTCCAGAAAAACGTCCAGCTCCTGTCCAGCTTCTGTCCAACATCATAAAAGTAAGATTTTTCCCAATTAACTTCTTCTGAAAGTAAACAACATAACAGAGAGAGCCATAACTCACTATCATAACTTCTATACTTGATATAAGTTCACTATAATGATTTTAAATCCTTAAAAATGTAAACTGCATATAACATGTAGCCAACTTATTCATAGCTGAATTGAATTGTAACTGAATTGTATTTGGCTGAAAAAAAGCAGCAAATGTTTTGGTTCCTCTCACAGATGGGAAGACTATCACAGTGATTTATAAAAAATAAAAATAAAAGAATTTAAATCATTTAAATCATTCAACACTCAATGGAGAGTTTTGTATGACACTTAAATTTTTTTCCCCACCAGTCATTTGTTGGTTTATTTTATCCTAATCCCTTTAAAAAAAAATACGGTTTTAAAATGATAGATGGAAGACACTTAAGTAAATGTGTCTTTCAACTAAAGTAAGAAGTTTCCTTTATTATAAAGTCAAATAAGACCAACTTATATCGAGCTTGTTTCTGTTTTTCTGCAAATTGTAAAAAAAAACAAAAAAGCAACACAATTGTTTACCTCAAAATTACAATACTTACGTGATTTGGTGTAAAAGACCAATTAATTTCAGGATTGCTCTGAATAGCATGCTACATTTATGTGCACCCAGATTTGGGAAGAAACATTTTTTTAAATTTGAAAAACAATTTAAATTCATTTTGAATGATGCAATAGGTGCTAAGGAAAAAAAAAAGTTGCCACATGGAACATGGTCACATTCTGTATGTCAGTTTCACTTCTTCAACATCTTGTAGTAGGCTACGTATGTTTTCTGAAGGCAACCTGATTGAAGAAGGTCTTGAAACTTCTTAGTACTGTAGTGCTGACACAATTCCAACCCTCTCTCAGTCAGTGCCATGCACCAATGCTACATCATATCCAAAATGACATCTGAAATTGTAAAAAATAATAATAATTAAAAGAAAGAAAAATGTCTGAACATATTTCATATACTCTTATTCTTCAAATAACAATAAAATAAAATAAACATTTTGGCATGATTTAAATCCTCATAGTTACTAAGTAAATAAGGTGAAGTGTTTCTTGATATAAAACCTGATTATTTCAAATTTTTCACATATATCTTGTTTTTTCATTTCATTTTTCAGGAGCAAGATGTCAGCAACAAAGAACTAAATACTGAGCAGATTACACTTGAAAACAAAGCTGATCCTGTGACAGCTACTAAGCCTACTTCAAAAGGAGAAGAGCATGATGAAGAACCCCAGATTTTACCCATATTCCAGGAATTAAAGGATGGGCAGATGGTTAGTGATACAAGTAAAAATAATGAAAACACAGATACATCCTCAACCGTGAAGGAGGAGGTTATAGTTGAAAGGAGACGTCTAACTTTTCAAGCAATGGAAGAGAGCAGTGAAAGTGACATCACACCCTCACCCTCACCAAAAGTCCAGAGGAGAAGGCTGAAAGTTAGTAATGTTTCTTCAAGCAGTGAAGACAAAACTGAAAGCGCTGACTCCAACATAGAAGATGAAGAGTTCATCCGCAGGCAGATAATGGGCATGGGTGATGACGAAGAAATGTCTCTTTCAGAAGATGAGAAAGAAGAGCATATAAAAAATAAAGATGTCATCAAGGAGGCTGAGCTTGAAAATGCTTCAGTGACAGTCGAATCACTGTCTAGAAAGAGTAGCACAGAAAATGCAAGGAGCCTAGCAGGGGGAATAACCACTAAAACAGACACTACAACTATAAAAGAGGCTACTGAAACATTGACTAACGTTGCTTTTAAGAAAGCTATTCCTGTCTTGAGAACAAAACCAAGCACTGATGAAGAAGTAGAGAGCATCACAGAATCCCTTTCAAAGGGATCATCTAGTGTTCAGGTATCTGGCTTTACTCCAAGATCTTCTCCTACATCTGCTTCATCTCTGGAGGAGGACAGTGATAGCAGTCCAAGTCACAGGAAGGTCAAAGGGGACAAACAACATCGCAAAGGTAAACACAGGCAGCCAACCCAGCCTCTCCCTACAATTGAGGACTCATCCGAGGAAGAAAAGATGAAACAGAAAGATAAGTCTAGGAAAGACAAAGATGACGTCAGGACCCATGGCAAAATACTTTCCCCAGCTGGAGATGCTTCCTCCTCAGAGGATCTGAGACAGGTAACAGTTATCACTGACACAAGTAGAACATCTGGCTCTGAGTACTCTGCCAGTATGGAATCAGAAACAGACGCTATGCGAGCAGTACAGAGAGGACGTAAGCCTTCACCAACAGTGATACCATACACTCCCCCGGATCCATTTGAAAATATGTATATAGCTGCAAAATCATTAAAGAGTGCAGAGGAAGCATATGAGGAAATCATCCAGAAGACAAGGGCTATTCCAGGGGAGAGTCCTCCTGATATTGAGCCACTCTATGGAGGAATGGCAATAGAAGACTATCTTTATGAATCCTTAGTGGAGGAGCCTGATCTGAAGATGAATGAACTACAAGAGGAAGAACCCAACCCTGACAATGTCTCTGACATGATGAAAAAACTCAGGTCCCCAGAGGAGGTTTATGAGGAGATGATGCAAAAAAAGAGAGAACTGATGATGATAGAGCAAGAGTTTCAACAGGCCCAGACTGCCATGGAAACTTCCTCACCAGAGGTCACTGATCCTATGGTGATTGTTGACACCTGTGTGGTGACAATACCAACTGAAGGGACATCACTTACTGGACAAACTGATGTACTTTTCACAAGTGATGCAACTTCCAGTGAAATGCCAATCAAGAAAAAGAAAAGGCCAGCTCCACCACGCCCCACTGAACCTCCTAAGCGTTCCGAGGGGACTGCTGTTACTAGTACTCAGAGTGTCTCTATAGGTTTTGTTAGGCCTATGGTCCCCCAAGATCCGGCACTCAGAAAGGCATTGTTCCCCATACCAGACCTCAAGATTACCCAATGTTCTTCTGGGGAGGAAGAAGATGATAGTCTTGCTGAAGAATATGGAGTTGGTTTTTCCTCTGACATTACACCCAGTGATGACTCTGAGACTAAAGAAGAGCCATCCATTAGCCCACCTTTGTCTGATATAGCTGATATTGAGCCCATCTCTGTGGTCTGTGAAGTTCCACAGCCAAAACCTATTCCGACACCAATATCAGCACCAGAACTAACCACAACACCTTCCCCTGTATCACCAGTGTCTCCTCCAACTTCACCAGCAACTCCAGATTCCAGTTTGGCTTCTAATGCTACATCTTCATCACCATTTCAAGCTCAAACACCTCTTTCATCAGACTCAACTCCACTGTCTACACCAACACCTCCAACTTTATTTTTAACTAAATCAATTCCAGAAATCTTGCCACCTTCTTCTGCCACAGTTTCATCTAGCAGGGATTCAGTCTCTGATCATACTCCAGCTGCAGTTATAGTTACTATACCAGATGTGGTTTCTGATCCATCTAAAGCTCAAACAGCTCAAGGTCAACTAATGTCTATTGCAGGTGAAGCCCCGGCATTAGCCCTAGTGGAAAGGCCTTCTCTGGAACCTGTTGTAGTTGAAATGCCAGACTTAGTGTCGTCTCCCTCTCAGGTGCCCTTTGAGGCTTCATCTTTTACACAGGTCTCAGCACCGAGTCCAGCACCAACAGCACTAGTGGCAGCAAGCCCTGTTGCAGTCTCCACTACAGCTTCAGTCCACATTGTTTCTGCATCTGTTACTCTGGCCCCAGGACCAGTCATAGTCCAGATGCCTGACCTAGTTTCAACCACATCTCCAATCTCTGCACAAGCCCCACCACCAGTCTCAGCACTTATTACCACCCCAGCTCCAACCCAAGCTAGAGTGGTACCCTCAGTCCCAATACAACCTTCTATTCCAGCTATGCGTCAAGGAGTAGTCCCAGTTCCCACTCAAACAGCTCACGGGCCCGGGTCAGCTCCAGCATCAACTACTATAATCAAAAAGAAGGTCCCACCCCCACCTCCCCCTCGGTCTACTTCAGTGTCATTACCTGAGCCTACCTCAGAGTTGCCACTTGTTAGGGCAGTTCATCATGCCACCCCTACTATGACCACCACCTTAGCTATGGGAGCTACAGTATCTAGTCAGCCAATGCAGTCAGTTGTTGTGGACATACAGCCAAGAATGGATGACTTACAGCCAGATAATGTGGCTGTACGTCAAGTAGTTACCCAAACAAGACAAGGGCATGTAGTCTTTATAGTGCCCAGTGGGGAAAACTTAGCTTCCACTCCTTCTATTCCACAAACTAGTCAAAAAGCCACACAACCTTCCCAAAATATACCCAGTATATGTTCAGCTTCGTTATCCAGTAAAGTGTCAGATTCAGCTCCAACACTTCCCCCTATTACAAAAGTTGTAGATGCAGTAGAAGTACCAGTGGCAGATACACCTCCACCAGCTCCCAGCACTTTACCCAGGCCAACTGTTTATCCAAAGCCACCAGCTTCTGTTGCTATGACAATTGCTTCAACAACATTGCCACGTGTTTCTGTTACATCAGGCCCTAGTCAAACCACCAAGCCTCCTCCACCCATACCACCAAAGCCTATATCAATTCCAGCTGGACTGGTTTTCAGCCATAAACCAGGAGAGAGTGTTAAGCCACCTCCTCATGTGGTTCCTAAAGCTGCAACACTGCCCAGGACTAAAGAACCTCCAAATGCTCTGTCACTTAGCCTCACACGCCCTGTGGAGTCAAAGCTGGGCGCAACATCTCCGAAGTCACCCTTGTCTCCCAGACATGCAAAATGTTTACAAACCTATGTGGTGATAACCCTTCCATCTGAGCCTGGTTCACCAACAGAGGGAATAACAGTCCAGGCACCTGTAAGACGTGGCTCCATCCCATCTACAAAAGTGTCAGGGGTACGTGCCACACCAGTAGAGCAGAAAACACCAACTGATGCATTTTCAGCACAAGCTGCAGTCAGAAGAGCCTCTGTCCCCACTGTAAGGCATCAACCTCCGATACCCGCAGCTCAAATTGTGGCAGTAGAGCAAGTGACACCCTTAGAGGTAGTAGCTGTTGAAGCCAGGATAGACTCTGTACCTTCTGATGTGCAACCACAACTATCTTTTACATCAGGTCATGATACACCTATTCAGTTACAAAGTGTGCCTGCTCCAATTAAGAAACCATATGTCGAACAACAATCAGATACTCAGCAACTTCCACCAACTAAAATGATCTCCGAGGAAATAACAATGCCCCAAGAGCAAGCCACAGCAGGAGCATGGTCTAAATCATCTGTTGATCATCATCAAAATATAGCCTCAGAGGCCATAACAGTTCCACCTGAGGCTTTAGCTCTAGGACTATTTCCTGCAGTCCCCATTCAAACTCTTCCCTTGCATCAACAGCCTGTGACAGAAGTTGTTGCTATGCCAGTCCACTCTGGGGTACCATTGCATGCAATTGTTCCCCAACACAGACAAGCAGCAGTCCCCTCAACTGTTCATTACCCTCGAGAAGAAACTCAAATTGATATACCAGAAAAGGATCAGGATATACCTACTGATGTCATTGTGACTGACATAGTTAATATAAGATCACCAGTACCAGAACATAAACAGCAAGTTCCTGTTCAACAGCAACATGTGATAGCTGAAGTGACATCCAACTCCAAAGAGCAAGAATTACCATCAGGTTCAAACATAATTGACAATTTTTCTGGAATTCAATCAGCACCACAAACTGTTCAGCCTCTAGAAGTTATGCCCTTTGTTACAGAGCAGCTATCTATGCTGCAACCTCATCTTGCTGCTGAAGCTGTGACCCTCCCTTCAACATTTGAATTACCTAGAGGAGTTATTTCAACTGATACTATTGTAAGAATACCAACAGTAGCAACTGTTCCTCCAGTGTGGCAACCTCAAAATTTAGTAGCTGAAGTTACCCCAACACCAGACATAGCTAAGATAATGCCACAAACTACAGTTCCTTACATGACCACTCCTACAGTTAATCAAGTCATACTATCACCTCTTGGGATAGAAATCCAACAACAGGAATTACCTTCTGATACTTACATGCCACAGGTCCATGGAGCAAATGCATCCTCTATCATGTCCCATTCAGCAGTGCCTCTGGAGATCATAGCTTTGCAGCCTGAGCGTGAGACACCCACAGAAATTATAACCGAGGATATTGATATAAGAAGGGCTTCAATACCGCCGATGGTGCAGCCTCTGGCTGGGATGCCATGCGGAGTCATTAAAACCGAGGAAACCACGAGTCGGAGACGGACATCTATATCATCCATAGTTCAGCCCTCATACACCTCAAGTGACATGTTTACCTATCCCTCAGCATATGAAATACCGACAGAGGTGGTTGCAACTGAGGACTTTGCTGCCACCAGAAGAGAATCCATAACTATGCAGCCAATATTACCATTGGCACAGGTCATAAACTTGCCAGCTGAGAAAGATATTACTACTGATCGTCATCCTGTTCAGTTCCCCTACAGAATTCCTTCAACAGAACAAATACCACAGACATTAAACTATCCATCAGAGTATGATCACCCTCTCGAGATAATAACCACTGAGGCATACACTAGAAGAACCTCAATGCCAACCTCACAAAATATTCCACAGGGTGTATCTGTGGCACCAGTCACTATCACTAAAATTCAACAAGAGTCTATCGAGAGTCAAGAGATTCGAGGACCAGAAAAAGTGGTGTCCAGTATGAGCCACATGTATTCATCTTCAATTTCAACTTCAGGCCAGCCTCCTGAAAGCCTGCCTAACCTGGTCACTCAGGTGGTCACCACTGAGGTCCAGAGGACCACCGTTTCTGTGGTCCATGAAAGACTCCCACAGGTCCCTCCATCAAGTGTAGCAATAACCATACAACCAGACATAGCTAAAGTCCAACCTCTGCCAAAACAGAATGGGAGAATAATCTACCCTGGGGATGTTATTGATTTACGTACCATGAAGGTTGGACTAAAGATGACTGAACAAGGTATGGACCTGACACCACCCGAGTCATGTCGACATTCTGTTTCAAGTGACTCTAGTTTGCGTCAAATTACAGCAGTGCAGCCTGAGATAGTGAATCTTAGTGCAGAAATCACACCTGCAACTACACTGTCTGTTGTCACTGACAGCATAACAATAGTCACATGTACAGCGACCATTTCCTCATATAACAACACACCAGCAGAAAAACCACTTGATTTGCAAGGCCCTGTTGTGTCATTACCTCTACCTCTCACCACATACAAACCATTTGAACCATTAGCACAGATTGTATACAGACCTGTGACCTCACAGACTTTAACCAGATCTGTAGCATCTGCAGCTCAAGAAATACCAATGAATCTTTCCTTTGGAGTCTCCCCAGGAGGAAAGCAACCTATATCTCCGGCAAAAGCAGCTATCAGCAATGGAGGCCCTGTCCTTTCTCTAGAGGCCACAGGTGCCATGGATTTATCGAACTACAGGCCTGTGCAAGCTATGGTTGCTTTGTCTGGCACAAGCCCAGGAGTTGTGACTACTATTGTGGAGGATGATGGGACTCCAGTTGACCTTACAGCTGGTAGAAGAAGTGTTTGCTGTGATGTCATTTACAAGCTACCATTTACAGGAAGCTGCAGAACACAGCCCCCAGTCACATCGCAGCCTGACAACCGTTTCGGCTACAGAGATGACCACTACCAATATGATCATGCTGGACAGTATGGTGTCAAAGGCTTGAATGGTGTAAAATCCTCCATGTCTGAGACTAACCTGACAGAGGCAGGACTGTTCTCCTATGATCCCAAGAGTGAATATGACTATCTCAGTGGACCCACAAATGGCGCCATAGACCTCACTGCAGCAAAACTTTCTACCGGTGAGTAGTGGGGCATTTCTGCACTTTTGTTACCATCCCCTAAGCTTGCATCATGGGCATGTATTTAACTGATTTTTTATATTTGTGATTTTTATTTGCAAAGTATTTTTATTGTTTATTTGTTTGTTTGTTTTATCGTTTATTTTTACATGCTTTCTTTAATCTTTCAAATTTCCTTGTTGGTCAATATGCATGCATGAATTTATTATTAACAGAAGCTTTTTTTTGTTTTGTTTTGTCTTCATACAGATGCATGCGTGTGCCTGCGTGTTCTCCCTCAATATTTTGGTTTTGCATCTTGCTAGCCAAAATGCATGCGCAGTGGCAGTCTTTTGTAAATCCAAATTGCATCACCTTTAAACCTTTACAGAACATATTTGTTTCTGACATTATAATGTAATAAAAAATAAAATAAATATTTATTTGATTATGGCAGGTATACCACTTGACTTCACTAGCAAAGCTACTGGAAGCTACCCTGGGATGACTACAGCTCCATACTCCCAGGTCCCTTCAGCTGGATTTGGTGTAAATAGTGTTTTAAGAGCCTCTGATGGAGTAGTTTATTCTTCTGTAGCTGCTCCAGTCCCATCCACATATGCAATTACCACTCAGCCAGGCTCCATCCTTAGTAGTACCTTAACACCTACATCAACAGTACAGAACCAGACATTGCCACATCCGTATGGTTTCATTCCTAGTACCGACCCAGGACAGATAATTGCTTTTGATACAGGAATACCCAAGGAGCTTCTTCCCACTGCTTTGGCTGACATCATAACAGGCTACCCAGATATGTACTCAGACACAACCTTGGAAGCAATTGCAGCCTCTCTCGATGCCCTAGCCTCCTCCCCCATATTCCCTGGTTTAGACAACACTAAAATGGCCCAGTATCAGATGGAGAGGGAGTTTCTAGAGCTAGAGAAGCTTAAGCAGCTATGTCTTGCTGAGGAGCTGGAATGGGAGAGGCAAGAGATTCAGCGATATCGTGAACAAGAGCAGTTTATGGTCCAAAGAGAGCTTGAGGAACTACAGGCCCTGAAACAGCAGCTACTCCTTCAGCAAGAGGAAGAGCACCATGCCCACATGGTGGCCCAGCAGGAAACCTATGCCCAGCAGAAAGAACAATTACAACAAATCCAAACACTCCAACTGCAACTCCAACGCCAGCTAGATGAACACTATGGTAGTACTGGAACAGCAGGGAATCTTCTAGATGCTAAATATGCAGGGGTTGGGGACAGTGGCCAATACTGGCCTGTCAAAGATGAGTGTTCAACGCCATCCTTACGGAGACAGTTGGAGGAAGGTCAGGACCATCTTAATTTAGTTAAGAAACTTCAAGCTGATCAGGACACAGGGAAAAAAATAATTGATAGTGGAGTGCAGACAGATGATGAAGACTCAGCAGAGAAGCAGCATGTTGGAAGAAGGAAGAAAAGTAAGAGAAATGTTGATAGCTCAGCCCAAACTGATGACGAGGATCAAGATGAATGGGATGCTCCTACAAAAGCCAGGCGACGCTCAAGAAAACATAGCAGTGATGGAAAACATGGCTCCAAGGTCTCTAGCATTGCTATTCAGACCGTAGCAGAGATATCTGTTCAGACAGACCACTCTGGAACTATCAAACGACCTAATGTCCAAATGGACACAAAAGTGGAAATTGTCAAGCATATATCAGCTCCTGAGAACTCTCAGAGAGGTGGCAGTCTGAGCTGTCAGACAGACTCAGACAGAAGACACACACCAATTGAAGTGGCCTACAGCACTCATCTAACAGCTGATGTTCCCTCAAAGTCCAAAGTCTTCTACAACCAAGTTTCCCCCATGTCTCCAGAAAGGTCCCTTGGAGGGCAGAGAATGTTGACTGCTGACCCAACCAGATTTTCCTCTGGCCCTAGGGTATTAAAGGCTGGTCAGAAATCTCTGTCTGATCCTAAATCCCTGAGTCCTTCTACAGAAGACAGGATGGGTGGATACTATGCAGACAGTTATCCTGTAAGCAGAATGGAATTAATTGTATCTTACCAATATTAAAAGCAATTGTGCTGATTTTGTTTTAATAATTGAGAACTGTATTTCTTTATTTTGTTTTATTTTCTAGGGCCGAGGCTCTCCCTCTGGTACAGGTAAGAAGGTAAAGCGGACACTACCAGACCCTCCTCCCGATGATGACTCTATGGCAGGACGGTCAGGCTACAGCACCAACTCTGCTCGTCGGCGTCTTGCCCGCAGTACAACAATAGCCCGGGCAAAGATCCTGCAGGACATTGACAAGGAGCTTGATCTGGTGGAGAGAGAATCCTACAAACTTCGCAAGAAACAGGCTGAGCTTGATGAAGAGGAAAAAGAGATTGATGCCAAGCTACGGTGAGATGCAATGATTTGACATAAGCCAAAGTCAGGATATATAAACTAACACTTTTTCACAGCCCTTTTGACATCAATTCATTAACTAATATTGATAGCATCATGATATCATTGTTTTGCCAGCCTCCCTATCACCCAATCATAATTCCTAATTCATCTGCATGATTCCCTTTTTACCCTGGTAGCTTATGGGCTAAAAGGCTTCCTTGACATCACTCTGTGAGACCTCTCCACACTCACACATAGTAAGGTACTAATGTGTGAGAACACAGAATGTTACTTGCCTCTTTGGTTGTTTTTTGCATTGGACTGTTATTGCTAAAGTTTTAAGATCAATATACTTGTTTTCCTATTGCTATAGATACCTGGAGATGGGTATCAACCGGCGTAAGGAAGCCTTGCTGAAAGAACGAGAGAAGAGAGAGCGGGCCTATCTTCAGGGGGTGGCAGAGGAACGAGACTACATGTCAGACAGTGAGGTTAGCAACATCAGAGAGGCCAGGGCTGATGGCCTGGAGAGACCAAGGACAGCACCCCAATCAGAGTTTGACCAATTTATCCCCCCTCAAACAGAAGCTGATTCTCAGTATAACACACTAACTAGTCCCTACTCTCACTATGCCCAGTATGTTCCCCAGACCCAAACCACCAGCCACTACACCCAACAGAATATGTACCAGCAACAGTCCCTTTACCACCAACAGGGGTCTCCTTACCCAACTCTTTCACTGACCCATGCCCAGACGCAGCAAAGCAGTTACCAACATGCTCTGCTTTTGCAGCAGGGAAAGCAGCGACAATCCGATTTAGAGCCGAAGATGACCACCAATTACGAAGTGATGCGCAACCAGCCTCTGCTCATTGTGCCAACCTCTTCAGAAAGTGGCTATGGGGTGGCTCACCTTGGAGGAAAGTATGGAAGCTTGGACTTGAGACTGGGGATAGAGGAGAGGAGCATGGCCTCAAGTCCCATGTCTAGCATTTCTGCTGATTCATTTTATGCCGATATTGACCACCACAGTGCCAGGAGCTATGTGCTTATAGAAGATATAGGGGAGCTCACTAAGACCTCAACAGGGCTAAGCAACAGTGGCTTAGGTTCTGGATTCAGCCTGCCTGATAAGGAGTTGGCCAAGGCAGACAGGCTCCTAAGGGCAGCAGAAGTCAGGCGCACAGCAGAGGTAAATATTTTTCCATTACAATATCTACTACCTTTACCTTTCTCGTCTCTTCAATGGTCTCACATCCTTTGTAAAAAGTTGAACTTATGAGCATTGCTACACTGTTTTTTAACCGCTATGATACCAATTTTAAGGGCTGTTCAAGGCAAAATAAGATAAAAGTGCGGTATAAAAAAAGCGAAAGTATATAAACAGCACTTAAATGTTCCTTAATGTTAAGCATTTGAGCGCTTGGCATATAAATGCAGACACAAACATGCAAGGAAATGATTATATCAGACACCCTTGCAACATACTCACCTAGAGCAAATGTAAACAAATGCAAAAAAACAAACAAATCAAAGATCACTTATATAACATGTTACTGTTCAACTATGCAATATAATTGTTAGAGACATAAAATACATTATGATACATTATTTTGCACGTTAAATTTACACTACTGTTGAGACACTTAAAGGAGATCAATTATACTCACTTAAAGGGCCCATATTATGCTTTTTCTGGTTTTATATGCTCTTTAGTGTGTTTTCCAAGTGTCCTGTGCATGTTAAGGCACATCTATTTGCAAAAATTAAAAGTCCACGGAATTAGCATTAGCTGCATGTAACGCTCGGTTTCAACCCCCCGCCCGAAAAAAAATTGTCAGTGTGACGTCTTGTCAGTGTGATATCACTGATCTAAGCCCATTGGCTCGTTGTGGCAAGCCCAGCAGCTCATGTTGTATGCCCGTTAACTTCTGTGGCACGCCCACGATATGCTGTAGCCTGCGGTAGCACAGTAGTGCTAAGGTGCTAATGTCTGAGACACCTCTTGAGTAGAGTTGCAAGATGTATAGCTCAAAAACCTCATTATTTATCTTGCATCAGTATTATATATCTAATTTCTGCCTCTGCCTGAAATGATTCATTTCAGCTGCTGTCTCTTTAAGGCCAAGGGAAAATTTAAATGAGCTTCCAGGTGTGAGCTTCTTTAAAGAGCAGCCGGGGTGGGCATTTCCTGCAACTTTGCTCCATGCTTTGCTGTAATATTTTGGCAGAACCTGACATCAGGTTCTGGCCAAGTCTTACAAAGTTTTTGTAATGTTTAGTTTAGAGTGCCAGGAGTTGCCGAGGTTTAGTATGGACATCCAGCAGCATAATCTTATATGTATGTAGTTAAATATGGATCAACATAATAGATGTCTTTACTGTATTGCATATTATTCTTCCCTTACAGGTGGCAGATTTTTTAGGCTCATCTCGGCTTCAGGGTTACGGTAAAGGCGAAGATGACACTATGGAGGAGCCTTATGAGCTGAAGCTACTTAAGCAACAAATTAAACAGGAGTTCAGGCGTGGAACCGAGGGACTAGAACACTTAACAGGCCTTGGCCTGCCCCAGTATCTCCCCAGTGATAGTTTTCGGCACTTTCCTAAAGGAGAAAAATATAGCATTGGCAGGCTAACTCTTGAAAAACAGGCTGCAAAGCAACTCCCGGCAGCTGTGCTTTACCAGAAACAGATGAAGAACAAAAAGGCCATGATAGACCCAAAGGCCATTACTAAGTTTTCCCCAATTCAGGAGAGTAGGGACCTGGAGCCTGACTATGGCAACTACATGGGATCTGGGGCATCCTCTGTAACAAATCTAGCAGCTACGGCAAGGTTGCTTCAGGATGAGATTACATTTGGGATCAGAAAAAACTTGTCTGAGCAGCAGAAATATTTGGGCTCCTCTTTGGGGGCCAATCTAGCAGGTTCTCTTAACCTTGGGCAGTCCCATGGACTGGGATCTACTATCAGAGCAACAGCCCAAGACGATGGTACCTACCCAAGTGGATCCCGTTCAAGACCCTCATCTCGCCCATCCTCCCGCCCCTCTTCAGTTTATGGTTTGGATCTATCTATCAAAAGGGACTTATCTAGCTCTTCACTTCGACTTAAAACAGAAGGGGAGGTCCTGGATGCAGCATTTGCACCTGGGGTGGCCAGAGCAAAACCAACAAGTTTACCTATCAGCCAAAGCCGGGGCCGTATCCCCATTGTGGCTCAGAACTCTGAAGAGGAGAGCCCCCTGAGTCCAGTGGGACAGCCTATGGGCATGGCTAGAGCCTCTGCTGGACCTCTACCACCGATCTCAGCTGATTCCAGGGACCAATTTGGGTCCAGCCATTCCCTGCCAGAGGTACAGCAACATATGAGGGAGGAATCTCGGACAAAAGGCTATGATCGAGATATCGCATTCATCATGGATGACTTGCAAGGTGCAATGTCTGACAGTGAAGGTAAATGGAACCTAAGACTGTTGCAGCAACTCAATTATTTGGACCTGCTTATCATGCATGCTAATGCTGAGTCATCCTTCTGACTTTGTGAAGTGTTTTTTTTCTCAATTCCGTTCTCCAGATAATTGTTGTTGCATATTTCCACCTTTAACAGTAAATGTCATGTACATGTTTGCATGCTATTTCTTTTATTTTGAAAATATTACTCACTGATACATAATACTCTAAGCCTGAGCTTATGTATGTGACTTAGCAGCTCTATCCATGTTTGATCTCTGAGTTCACTAGCATGCTTTGTTTTTTTGCTTTTTTTGCCATGCCTTTAATTCTTCTCAGTTTAATTTTAACCCCATATTATGGCTAAATTATTTTAGTAAACTGCCTAACTTTATTTAAATCTTAGAAAAACACATTTTTTCAAATCATCTATGTACACCTGGCACAGTCAGAGAATGCATGGAAGATAAAAAAAAATACTCATGTTTAGAGAGGTAATGACACATAGGCTAATGGCAGACATGAGAAATAATTGAGAAACATACTCACTGGGCTGAATAATCTTCTAATCTTTTAAAGTAAGATAACAATAAAAGGTAATACAGCTAATATAAAAGTTTAAGCTATGTATTATGAAAACATCTGCATTAAAAAGATGTAGGTCATTGTAATAAAGAAACATTATAAGTTATCACAATGTAGAATTTAATGATCTCCTTGTTTACATACACTACCAAGAGTCCTGCATACTATTTAAGTAATCAAGAACATTCTTAATGTTTAGTCAAAGGATTTAGAGTCTTTGAAATGCTCTAAAGCATCTGAAATCTGCAATAACATATTTGTACAAGGTACAGAAAGGAGTGTCTTGGGATTCCCTCTTTGTTTTTTTGCTTGTCTTTTTTTATGGCTCCTACTCCTAGTCTGCAGTTGCCTCAAATATAAATATATTTGTATTTTAAGTCACCTTTTTATAATACCTAAATAAAGAATAAGCTGCTGTAAGTTTAAATAAGTACGGCTGAATCATGGTGGTCTGGATATTTTTCAGCTTTATACAGTTATGCTCAAGGAAATCACTTTGTGTAGCTTCTTTTCTCTAGCTCTTTGTAAGCCAGTATCACACCTACCAATTCAAGTTTTTTCTTTCGTTGTGAACTCATTCTGCAAAACAATGACTGTCTTCTGAGGTTTTCTATGCAAATATGTACTGTTAAAACTAACTTTTTAGTATCATATCATTGACTCCTTTATGTTAGGTGTCTGTCTTTGTTACTTTTTATCTTTTGTTTTTCTATTTGTATCTAACTCTGCATCCATGCATGTCGTGCAATACATTCTTCATTTCCATCTTAATAAAGTGTATGTTTTATGCTTGCCGGTTGCTGTTTTGCATGTCTAATGGCTATGTGAGTTGTCCATGTTCCCCAGTAATTGATAAATATTGACATGAACTATTCCCATATCTTTAAGTGTGGGATTGGTAGTGTTCCATTACGTTTGGTAAATGAATCTCTGCAGATATTAGTTCTTTACTTTGTAACCTTTATTTTGATACAGTATGTTATGCACTTCTTTCAAACTTAGACACTGTGAACTATATAAATAACTGATTTTATAAGCAACCTGATTAAGACTTAGTTGAACAGAGATGATGCCAGAATCTTTCATGAAAGTATCAGACACGGTAGAGTATATTACAGTATTAGTTAAAACCCCTCACTTTCCTGTTACTAATACGTCTCAATTTGACATTAAGTTATTGTTGGCCTTTCCCCTAAAATGTATTTAAATGTTGTACACATTACTTCTGCTTAAATTTGAAAACCTTCTGAGGCTAGTAATGTCAGATGTGCAGTAATTTCAAGCATGCATCTTATATTGACTAAGTGCTTTTAGTGCATGTGCTGAAGTATTCTCACTATAGTTCTAGTCTTAGCACAACTCCTTAAGTCTGTTTATGAACCTTGGTTGAATGCATTTCTGAAAAAAAACATACAACTTTGTACCACAGCTGGAGGCCCAAACTGGAATATAGAAGGTGAGACAGCATCCCAACTTCCATGAAGCTACAACAGAGACTGTATGCCTCCATGCCGCATATCATGGTCCTGAATGACGCACTGTTTCTGGTTGATTTGTAAACATACCAGACTCATAGACAAAACATGTCATTTAGCCAAACTTGAGTAGTTGACATGGTCAGATTCATTCCGGAATGACACACCATCTCAGTGGCACTGGAAATATGTCATGTGTCCTATAGAAGTGAACTCAAAATACATCATTCTGGAATGACTGCACATCACAGTGGTTCTGTAAACATATCAGACCCATATCCAATATTCATGTTCATGCACTTTTGCTATCACGTGTATATTGTGTGATCATACACAATTGTTTCCACAAAAAATATATTTTAATTGCTATCCAGTGTATATATGTAAAAGGCATTTTATAGTATTCTGAAGGTCGATGTTGCCTATGTTGTTAATGCAATCATTCTAGATCATACAACTCAAAGGTAATGTTAAAAACTGATCAGTGCTTCCTATTCTAATACAGGTAGATAAAAAGGCAACATTTACCTTCAGCATAAAGAATCATTGGGCATTTTCTCTTCATCATTTCCGGTGCATCTCCTCAGAAAACTAGTCACATTATATCCATATAGTGACAATATTTCATATTTAACGGCAATTAATGACACAAATTAAAATGCAGGACATTCCCAACAACCTGGCATTATTATCATGGCTCTATAACGTCTCTTTAGTAGAGATATATAAAATGTTCAGGGTTTGCAATAATGATACTGTAATGTGGCACACGACAACTAGTATCTTCAAGGCGTAATATACCAAATTGAAAGGTTATCAAGATCTCTATATGGCACGTTTTTAGTTATTTATACTGCTCTTATAGTACTTTATGAATACCTCAACATAGTAAAGTAACACATTACAGTTGTATGTTTTTTAAGGCATACCATTAGCTTAAATGAAAGATAAGGATTTAGATATCATGCATATTTCCCCCTTTCCCTTCTGAAATATTTGTATCAGAAATTGTTTTTACAGTAGTAGTAGTTGATTAGCATTTGTATTTAAGTAATCATTTTTAGACAGTGTTTAAGAAAAATCATACACAATGGGACAACTCCAACCCACACTGTTTGGAATGAAAGTATTCTATATCATAATACATGATTTCCCAGGGCTTCTTTCAGCTGAAATATTGTATGTAAAGCAACATTTCAAATTTGGCCTAAAAGAGCCCTCACACCAAGACGGGGAGCATTGCATGGTATCAAAGCATGCCTAACCTTAAATGCTCTCAAAATGTTTTCATCCTTCATTCAGTGTTTTGCAGTGATCATTTGATCGGACAGACTGAATGGATAGTGTTGAACAATGTTCATACTTCTTTGCTTTCACCTATCCAGTCTGATCAGAGATCTGTACTGCATTCGAGTAAAACTGAGATGATACAAGTGTTGTGATGCATTATCAGAAGCTTGTCCTTCCCCAAGTTGTCATTGCCACAATGTGAAACACAGTTCTTTGCTTGGAAGCTGGAAGCTACCGTCGTGAGTGTTTTTTTTTTTTGTGTACGCAGCTTTTAACCACTTCCTCTCCCCTGCTCAGCCTACCATCTAAGGAACGAGGACACCGATTGGTTTGATAAGCCAAGAGAAGGACATCCGCAGAGCGGGAGCATGTCAGACAGGAGACAGGTGAGGGTCAGGCTAACAGCATTCAGTCTTTCCTTACATACATTTTTGACTTTGTGAATGTGATTTTATTGCTGTAAGGAAAACCCATTTCCCTCATTCTGTTCTTTAAAATCTCTCTCAGATGAAACTGGTCCCCTATGCCTTCCCTCACACTCGCTTCAAGCTTAAGAGAGACCTGAAGGACACCAGTGTGTCTGGTATAATGCTTTACATTGGTATTTCACAAAAATCAAGTGCAAAAACATGTTTTATTGCAGTTTTGTTATAGTTATTTGCATGTTTAATTTCTCTCAGGGAATGGACTTGGGATCCGAGTGGTAGGTGGGAAGCTGATTCCGGGCAGTAGAGGAGAGATCGGAGCCTACATCGCCAAGGTCATCCCCGGTGGAGCAGCAGAACAAACAGGAAAAGTTGTAGAGGGTAAGAGAAGAATGAAAAAAAGGAGGTGCTATTTATATGTATTAATGTAAGTTTTTAGTTGCTCATTAAGTTCCTATGTTGGGAGTTGTAAGGAAAAAGCTTCAAAACATGAGCTTTTCAAATCAAGGTAAAAGAGATGCTTTGATTTGACTTTGCTTGGTCTGGTACAGACAGTACATGATACACCATTTCTAGTGCCTGAGAAATGAATGCTTTGAACTGATTTTTTTTTTTTTAAATCATTATTAACCTTTAAGTTAATACCATTCACAAAAGAAAATCCCTGCATGAATCACTGAATTCCAGATGGAGAAAGAGAGCTGCTGCTGTATAGCCTTCTGCTGTTATTGTCTGTCATGTCTCTTCTCAGCACATCACATCCAACCCAGAAAAAAATAAAAAAAATCCTGTCATCTCACCCTGCCCAGCGCTGGGCTGTGTTAGTCATTAGGTTATATTTAGCATTGCTATAGACACACAAAAACACAGCACCAGGCACAGACAAACACATACACAATAATTAGTCTCATTACTGTGAAGAAATAAACCTACTTAAATTACATTTTAGTTTATTAAAGTTCTCACATGATTAATCTCCTAATGTTCATTATTTCAAGAGGCACAGTATTCATGGAAATTCACGCAGTTTGATATTTTTAGGGCTTATTTGCTTCTTTCTTTAATGGGAAACCCACCAAATGGGCTGCAATGGCTTAACTATTGCACAAGGGACGGGGTGAAGGGCAGATGAGCTTATGTATTTGCTCTTGGACGGATGTATTCCATTTTATTTTCTTTACAAGCAAATAAGCGCTGTATTAAATAACAGGGGTGGTCAGGCATGTGTTTACTTATATTGTATGCTGAGTAATAAAGTAATAATTACGCAAATGTCATGCGTCGTATATGCTCCACTAAAGGACAATGGCAGCGGAACATGCCTTTAGGTGCATGAAGAAATGAAGTGGGGGAGGATGCAGTGAGTTATATAGAGAGCAGCACTTGGCTCTTGCAGAAGCATACAGAGGAACTAGCCTTTATATGTCCTTATAGCTGGTTTATAGAAGACCAGGTTTCAGTCCTGTAAGTGAGGCCTCACACAGCTCTGGCCTTTGAAGGCACAAGTTTGCTGTGTGTCTGTGTTTAATATATTTTTCACTGAAACATTAAAGGCTTAATATGTGATTTTTCACACTTAAATGTAATAGAAATCAAGTATATTATAGTATAGTAGTATAGTATATAGTGAATTAAAAGTCTTCTTTAATTAGGTTTTAAATTCAAATAATCCGGCGCATTTGGTGCACTAAATATTCTATAACATATTTTAAGTACTACATAAAGTTTAAAAATGCATATTAACACAGAAGAGAATTTAAAGGCTTAATATGTGATTTTTCACACTTAAATGGAATAGAAATCAAGAATATCCTCTGAAAATAACTCTGTGAGTCATGACTGTCTACAATGGGTGTAACACCCGAGTCCCACTGTCTGTGATGTTTTCAGAGTTTTCAGAGTCCTATCTTCACTTTGTTTACATCGCCAGGACGGCCGGCTGACTCCTCCCCTCGTGTATAAAAGTTGTTTAATTGAGGGACTAGAGAAAAGAAGAATAACATACTGTACTCACTGCTTAACTGTGTTTCTAGATCACGCTCATTTCAGGTAAATTTACATGCAGTGTGAAGATACCAGCATAATAAAGATCGCTAGCATTAGCATGCTAACACAACAATGCAGCGCGTGTTGTTTTGGTTTCATGCTGGTGCTCAAGGGCGACATCTGCTGGATCAAAAAATCGCATATAAAGCCTTTAACATAAAGGTTTTCACATAACATTTTTTTGGAGGCATTGTCTCACCTCTACCTCTGTGGTGCCATCCTTTGTTTTTAATTCTTTGTGTGAAAACAAGCTTACTCTAGTTGTCATGTTGCTGCTCTAAATGCTCGCATGAGGAGATGACAAAGTCAACAAAAAAAACCTAATTGAAAATTAAATGTTTTCACTTTCCCACTGGGTGTACTGCAAATTGAAATATCACATCTGCTCTCTGAGCGCGTAGGCAGATGGATTTTTTGTTTCTTATGTTGAGACGAAGTGAAATGCCTGGCCTCAGGCTGTACAGTATAGCAGATTGTCTGGGAATTGATGACACCCTTTTTTTGAACCCGCCGCTTACCTTTTTATCACACCACAGGAATGCAGGTGTTAGAGTGGAACGGAATCACTCTGACAGGAAAGACTTATGAAGAAGTGCAGAGCATCGTGGGCCAGCCATGTGCAGAGGCGGAGCTCTGTGTGAGACTGTGAGTTTGCATCTGTCACCATTTACCCCTCTGTCCCACTGAAACTCCGACATCTTTAGTCGCAATATGGTAACATTGCACCCATGTACAGCCTGTCTCCTCCCTCCCTTCCCTCTCTTCATTTCACACCCCTTCATCCGTCAAATACCACTATGAATGATTACTGCTTAGTTACACTGGTTGATAGTCCAATCATACATTTCCTGTATGGATCCAAACAGTGACCTTAACATGCTGTCTGACCCTGAGCACCCACAAGCCCTGGAGCACCATGTCCAGCTTAAGGCTGGTATGTACAAGGATTTTGTTGATATGTCTGCATGCATGCATGTATCTGTGTACTTATTTCACATGAATGCAATCTGCATCACTATACCTATTTGTCTCAGTAGGTGGGCAGCGTTCACCAGGAGTCGATCCTAAGCAGTTAGCTGCAGAGCTGCAGAAGGTGTCCCAGCAGCAGGGTCCCGGTGTTGGGTCTGGAGGTTTGGGTGTCCTATCTGCGCTGGAGCGCTCTGCCCTCCTCCACTCAGGTACTGGATCTGCAGCCTCAAGCGGTGTACCGAGCCCTGGCCAGCCTGCGTCCCCGGCCATAAACAAGAAACAACGGCAAAAGGTAGCGAATTTGACTATTCTAGCATAGTTTCTGCTACCACGCCTCAGAAACACACTTTGGGTGTCACAGTGTTGGGATATACAACTAGTACATGTTGCACCAGCTTTACATTTTGTAAAATAGAACATCTGCTCTCAACACATTAAAGTATGGATCTATCTCTGAAGCCACGGCCTGTGGAACTCTGTGTGATCCATCATGCTTCTCCATTAGTGTTGCATCATAGAACAGTACAAAGGGCAGGTTGTATATGAAGGTCAAATGGTGTGTTCCGGTGTTCAATCAGGGGGGACAGGCCAATTATAGAAGAACAAGAAATTAGCGCGGTACTGCGCATGACCCTTGGTGTCCATTACACCTGAAATGATGACAAAAATACATAAGAGATTCACGAGTGAAATTATAAATAAATCATTGATTGTTAAAGAAAATGAATTATGCATCATGCATCAAATCTGGTGATAAATACCTAGCATAAAAAAAGGACAAAACTAATGTGTTTGTTTGGCAGACAGCACCTAAACCGAAGTGGACAATACGTATTCCTGGAAGTAGCTCAAATGATTGATCCAGCTTCTCAAACTTCACTGGAGGACTTTTCCAGTCGATAGCATGGCTCAGATGGTCAAGTCTCTCCTGAGGCTTATAGATCCAATCAGACATCTTTACTCTTCATCTCCTCATCCCTACAAATACTATTCCTCAGTGAGCTGACAATATGCTGTTTATTTTGAGAAGTTATGTCAGAGAACCAATCACTGTAACGTAATCACTTGGTAACTGCTGACAGCGACTGGCATAACGTTTTATTTTTTTGACCCGAGTTTTGTTTCTGTCTCTACGATCCAATCATGAAGCTGTCATTGTAAGAATTTTTCTGCAATTGTTTCGCAGCCAACTGATCCGATTAGGACACAACACCCAATCACTGGGGAGATTCAGGTAGGCTAAGCACTTAAAAAAAACTACTTGATCATTCATTCTAAGTGTTGTCAGTCTTTCACTCGCAGCCTTCACTTTTTTTTTCTTTCAGCTCCAGATCAACTACGACAGGAACCTCGGAAACCTGATCGTCCACGTCCTGCAGGCTAGAAACCTGGCCTCGAGAGACAACGACGGCTACTCTGACCCCTTTGTAAAGGTCTACCTCTTACCTGGGAGAGGGTGAGTCCTGAGAGTGTTTTAAGTTCTAATGAATGTCTGGTCTTTGTGTCTGCCTTTCCTGTTTTTGTGTCTGTCTCTGTCTCTGTCTCTGTCCCCCTCCCCCCTATTTCTTTCTGACTTTGTACCGAGTGTGCTGTGCTGTATGGAACTGACTAACTACTGGAGTTTGTATGAGAGAATGAGACTGGACAGGATGATATGAGGCACTCATTCGTAGTGGAATTGGATTCAAATTGGTTAAAATTGCTGAGTCAGTGGTTGGGTGTTTTATATTTAAAACGGAGCCATGACAGGATACTTTGGTACACTGCAAAATTACCAAATTGTTTTCCCAACGGCATTGGTAAAAACCCTACGCAATGATGAATTTTCACGCGTTTCCCTCGTAGTATTTTTAAAGTCGTCCCCTAGATCTACGTATGTCCGCAGCTTCCTCCTCATATCCTGTTTGCTCCCCCATAGTCCCAGGAGCCCGTGAATAGCAGGAGAAAGGATCGATACGGCCTTTTATCTTCTCTGCGTAGTATCTGCTCTTAGATAATAACCCCGTCAGACCTGTTTATGAGATTATAAAGCTTCTCTACCTTACAAGCTATAAAGGTTAGAAGCGAAGGCTCGGTAGGAAAGCACTTTTGCTTCCTGCTGTAACATGAGCATTTTGAAATGAATTTATTTGACGTTAGCAGCACAGTGCACAGCTATAGTGCTATACAACAACATTTCTGAATTAGTCATTCAACCGTAAGCGAGGATTTTTTTGGGGGGGTCTTGCATCACACAAAAAACAGCAATACACCAAAGGGAAGAATACGGATTGCCTCAGCTCTCTATCCTTTACTGCCTTTACTTTTGAGCTCTTCTGGGCTTCTCTGACTGTTTTTTTGTGTTTTTGCTTTTCTTGTTTGTGATATCTGCCCTCCTCTTCCTCTTCTGGACTCCCTCAGCCAAGTCATGGTTGTCCAGAATGCAAGGTAGTGTGGTGCTGATCTTTGCTTTTTTTTTTTTTTTGTTAGTGTTATTCTTTTTTTTTCCTTTCTGTAAATGACGTCTCCTCCAAAGCAGTTGCTCCATCCTTCTGTTGTGGCCTTTGTTTGTTTGTCCAATTATCTGCTGTAGTTCATGGTGTTAAAAACAGTCCTGTCATTGCCTTTTTCTCTCCATGCCTCTCAATTTTGACTCTCCTCTGATTTTTACCTCTGAACAGATTTGTTATTTTGTAAAAAAAAAAAAAAAAAAATACATATTTTCAGTTTAAGTAAACATCTACATTCAAATTTGTGTCTGGTGTCTCCAAAAACAGGAGGTTGCCTATTATAAAAAAGCATCTACTCAGTCTACATTTGTGGAGTATGACTTGTTTGGTGAATGTTTGCCAATGGAGTCAAGCACTGAAGAGAAATGTTACTTTCTTACTGATAAATCATTTTTGAATTTCATAACTTATCAGCGCTGATAACAAGAGAAGGACCAAGTATGCACAGAGGACTTTGAACCCCGAGTGGAACCAGACCGTCATCTACAAGAACATCCATCTGGAGCAGGTATATAGTACTGTGCAGGGCGACACCACACATATCTCATGCAGGTGCACACACACATACACACACACACACACACACACACACTTTCACTCTGTCTTCAATTACTGCTTGTGCTGTGAGCCATTTGTGGGTGAAGTGGACATCTTATATACTCTTGTTAGGATTCTGTCCTCATGCCTTATCCCTGAGGCTGCTTTTAGTAACCCTGCGCAGCCTCTTATCAGCACTCCCAAGACTTCAATTTTAACAAACCATCATTTCTGCTCAACACAGACAGCCTGAATTTGTTTTATTTGAACCTCAAAAAAGAGCGTTTGAAACTTGTGCCTGCCAGTCTGCCATTGTGCTGCTGTGTGTCTGGACATGTGTTTTTTTTTTTATTCTTGGGGGTCTGAGTTCCCAAGAAGTATGTGTTGCTAGTGACAGATACGCCACCCCAGACAGTAATTACCGCTGCGAGGGCTGGGTGCAGATATGGAAGCTTTGGGTGGTCAGGCATTAGAAGACCCTCTATGGAGACAGGGGGATTCATCGGCTCTGCTGATTAATCACGTCTCATCACCGGGGCAACCCTTTAAAAAAATGTCCCTCCCTGAGATATGTTTCCATCTTCTCCCACACACACACACACACACACACACACACACACACACACACACACACATGTACACATTCACAGGTATTTGAACACATGTATGAACACATAAAGGAAAAGACATTTAATGCAACTCTCTCAGCATTTACAGTGAATTACCCTCCTGCTGTGGGTGTGCATTCATTCATGCACTGCATCGTTCTGTCACGCTTCCTCCGCCCACCTGCACACAAACACGCATACATCTCTAGCTAACACATTACAAAACACACATACAAGATCTGTCATCATAATCTTTGCCCTCTCTCTCTCTCTCTCCTCTTTTCCACGCTCTCTATGCAGTTAAAGAAAAAGACGCTGGAGGTCACAGTGTGGGACTATGACAGATCCTCCTCCAACGACTTCCTCGGAGAAGTGAGTGCTTTTCGGAATCTTGAATGCCCACGTCTGGAAATGTCAAAGTCGTTTTGTATTCTACCTCATGTGAACGTTTTCTTACTCCTTTATATTTTTGGAATGACCAGCTTTTTTTTATAGAAAGGAAAAAAGCCTTATACACTCAGCTTTAACTTTTTCCTCCCAAAAGCTCTGAAAACAAACATTACTTTATGCCTTAAGCCTGCATTGTGTTCAGCTATCTATCTAAAAAAATTAAGTAGAACATTTGTGTTGGGCTTGCTTTCAAAGTTATGATTTTCCTTCTATCAATGCTGCTGTACATGTTAATTGGATCCTAGGTGTTGATTGACTTATCGAACACCAACCAGCTAGACAACACGCCCCGCTGGTTGCCTCTGATGGAGCAGAGTGAGAGCATTGAGCACAGCAGAGCACACCATGCTGCACAAGGCCCACCGGGCTCTGGATCTGGTCAAGGTCAGGGATATGGCCAAGGCCAGGGCCACTTATCGGGGCCTGGGATGGGACATGGCTATGGCACAGGACAGAGTCAAGGATCAGGACTTGGAGATGGGAGTCACGATTCACCTAAAAACTCTGTGATCAAGAGTAGAAGCCACGGAATCTTTCCTGATCCAGCCAAAGGTAAAGTGATCGTAACCTAAAGCACCTCATCTACTTAATGCTAACATTTGTGTGAAGCAGTTGCATGGTTCTGGATCATGAAACAGAAATTATTATTCTCAGCAAGTTTCTGTTTGTGTCAAAAAAACTGTGATTTAAAATGTGGTCACTGAGTTGTGACACAGAGAAAGAGACGGTTGCCATAGAAACAACAATAATCGTATCTTGACAGCTGTAATTACCCTTCATTTGCTTGTCAACAGCTACAAGGTAATAATTAGGACCCCTTTGGAGCAGAAAAAATCAAATACTTCTCACAGTTTGAATAATTTTCATCTTCAGCTCGTCTCTCTCTCGTCATATTAGCGGTTACAACCCTTCATTTCGTCTCCCTGCAGATATGCAGATGCTGCCTTTAGAAAAGTCTCACAGCAGCCCGGGCAGCTCCAAGTCTTCCTCCGACGGCCAACTGCGCTCCCACGGTCCCTCCCGAAGCCAAAGCAAGAGCAGCGTCACTCAGGCCCACCTCGAGGACGCTGGGATAGCCATCGCTGCCGCTGAGGCTGCCGTGCAACAATCCCGCCTGCAACCAAGTAAATCCCGCCCCTGCCTTTAATACACTTCCTGTGACATGCCTCCTTTTTTCCAGCGCATGCAAGCTTTGTCGATATTGTTTGATAAAAACCATCGTCCGCCATGTTATTTACCTCCTTAACATTTTACCTTTGCTTCCTCTGTCCACATAACTTATCCTTTGATCTATTATCTTAATGTTATTCCTGTTGCAACTGAGATAGATCAATCTTACTAACACGGTGACTGAACAGAATCAAAGTCAGAAGAAAAGTCAAATATCTGACATATACAATAACCTTAAATTGAACTAAAAGTCTTCTTTAATTAGGTTTTAAATTCAAATAATCCGACACATTTGGTGCACTAAATATTCTATAACATATTTTAAGTACGACATGAAGTTTAAAAATGCCATATTAACACAGAAGAGAATTTAAAGGCTTAATATGTGATTTTTCACACTTTAATATAATATAAATCAAGTATCTCCTCTGAAAATAACTCTGTGAGTCATGACTGTCTACAATGGGTGTAACACCCGAGTCCCACTGTCTGTGATGTTTTCAGAGTTTTCAGAGTCCTATCTTCACTTTGTTTACATCGCCCGGACGGCCGGCTGACTCCTCCCCTCGAGTATAAAAGTTGTTTAATTGAGGGACTAGAGAAAAGAAGAATAACATACTGTACTCACTGCTTAACTGTGTTTCTAGATCACGCTCATTTCAGGTAAATTTACATGCAGTGTGAAGATACCAGCATAATAAAGATCGTTAGCATTAGCATGCTAACACAACAATGCGGCGCGAGTTGTTTTGGTTTCATGCTGGTGCTCAAGGGCGACATCTGCTGGATGAAAAAATCGCATATAAAGCCTTTAACCATCTTTTGACTAACTAATAAATAAATGTGTATTTTATTATTATTCCAAAAATAAAAGCACCACCCAGATTCCTGTGTCTCTACTTAAAATGTGCATGCGCCGATCCCAAGCATATATGGTTTCTACTGAACCCCAGTGTGGAGACCTCTGACCCCTGAATAGAAACCAAACTGGGATGGCAATCCTTCACACGTCTTCAACCAAATTAACATGATATGAACAATATCGATTTCTGTTTATGTATAGTGTAGTGTGATGTCCTCATAATGAAAAATAATAATAATTGTCATCCCCTTCTAAGCTAAGTCTGTCCTGAGTCAGAGCTATTTAAGCATGCAGTTGCCGCTTCCCTGGCTACTGTTCCCTTGGCCACTGAGGGCTTTGTGATGCTGCAGCCTCTGTGTGTGTGCATGTCTGTGCCATATGAATGAACCCTAACATAAGTTACAAGAAACACACAGAGACTCACACAGGTCCGGCACACAGGCCCCTCCCCCCTCCCCCTTCCAATCCTCTCCTAAACCCCCCTCGGCCTAAATCAAAAACACAGACGCACCTGAGAGGTGTCAAAGTCAACAGGAGGCTCACTCTACATTCCCCCGGCCAATGAGAGTAAAGCGGTCAGCTGACCATGAGGGGAACAAGTTTTCGAGGGAAGGTGAGGCAACATAGGAAAAATAAATACTTGTAATACTTATTCATAAACAATTATGCAATAAAAAATATCAACAAAAAAATAAAATAAAGTCTGCCATTAAACCAAATGTTAAACTATTGAGGTAAATAACTTAAATATCATGTAAAGATTTGTATGCATTTAGGATTGTTTCTGTCTGAGAGTGTGCATGTTTTTATGTTGCCTGCTATTGACATAATATTAGGGATGCACCGATGCATTGGTTTAACATCGGTAACGGTAACATAAAGGCAAATTATGTAGCCAATGTCAATAGCTGATGTTTATTTGTTGTGCCAAATCCATTTAATGCTGATGTCTAGTTCATCTTAAAACTGGTTCAGAGAAGAGGTTTTTTATCAGGCAGATGAAGTCCCCTGATGAACGGGACTTGACTTGTTTTCATTATCAAACATGAGAGAAAATGTTGGCATTGTGGTGGTCTGACACCAGAAGAAGTCATGAAACAAACATCAGAATCAGCAATCGGCTAAAGTATTATTTCCAACAGCAGTATCGGCCCTGAGTTTCCCAATTGGTACAGCTCTAATAAATATGTTTTCATGGCTATAGAAACAGATTTCCAAGCTATTTCATCAAGTGATGTTGTTTTTCACACATCATTTAACTATTCTATCGGTCTCTGTTTTACTGTGAGGGAGTGGGCACTGTGAAGGAGCAGAACGTACCCACCCTTCTGTCTAGACAGAAACACCTTACATATTCCCTGAACTAATCATTCTTTTCCATAATATAGGCTGGAGCATGACTCAACAGCAGCAAGGGGACCCCAAATAAATAATTAAGTCTGAGGAAATATACACTGTTGTCTCACTTTAAAGGCTTAATATGCGATTTTTTGATCCAGCAGATGTCGCCCTTGAGCACCAGCATGAAACCAAAACAACTCGCACTGCATTGTTGTGTTAGCATGCTAATGCTAGCGATCTTTATTCTGCTTGTATCTTCACACTGCATGTAAATTTACCTGAAATGAGCGTGATCTAGAAACACAGTTAAGCAGTGAGTACAGTATGTTATTCTTCTTTTCTCTAGTCCCTCAATTAAACAACTTTTATTCGCAAGGGGAGGAGTCAGCCGGCCGTCCTGGCGATGTAAACAAAGTGAAGATAAGGACTTGGAAAACTCGAAAAACATCACAGACAGTGGGACTCGGGTGTTACACCCATTGTAGACAGTCATGACTCACAGAGTTATTTTCAGAGGATATACTTGATTTATATTACATTTGTGAAAAATCGCATCTTAAGCCTTTAAATGAATGGGTAAATGAATCCAAGTGACCTTCATTTTTTTGCAATGATGGAATATAAGTGTGGTGTTTGTCCGTTAAAACGGTTATACACTGCACTGCTTGAAGGACAAGCTGTCAAATCCATTGATTGGTTCCTCCCCTGATATGCTGTTATGTGATGCTCAGTCAAAGTTATGTGTGACAAGACAGCATCACTGTCAGTGACTGATAGCTGGGGGTGTGAAGGGTTTTCTGTCGACGTGCATGCATGCGTGGTGAAAACACGAGTCAGACCTTTGAGTTTGTCGATAGAAAGAACGACAGAAAAGTTAAAGTGAAAGATAGACAGGAAAGTATTTCTTCACCATTACCTCACTCTTGCTACCCTCAGGACCAGGACACAGATTGGCCGATGTCTCAGGGTCGGTGGTGCTGTCAGCCCCCGAGTCTTGTGGGAGACGCCTATGGAGGCCTGGAGGGGGACGACGGGGAGGGCACCGGAGTGGACAGTGCCATTTTCCAAGTGCCACGCATGTAAGATCATATGGGGCTCATTTTTTAATCAGCATGCTATGCAAACAGTAGTGCTTTTGGCTGTCTAGTATTTCTTTGTAATTTATCCCTGATGTGTTTTTTTTTCTCTCACAGTGGGAAGAATATTCCTAACGGCACAGATAAAAACCAACTAGGGCCCACGGAAAATGAAGGCAAGTTCCAGAAACATCCTCTGTTCAATGTAAAGACGTCTTAAGAAAAAAAACAGTCTCATTATTTATTTTAACGTGGTAGAGGTCGCCATCTGCTGGCTACTTATTGTAACAGCACTTGTTTGCTTGCTTGTTTTTTTTGTAGTTCTTTTGGAGCCTTTTTGCCTTTAATATATAGGACAGCTGAAGAGAGACATGAAATGATGGCAGTAGAGAGTAAGGGGTGACATGCAGCAAAGGGGCCGTGTTCCAATTCGAACCCACGGCCGCTGCAATGAGGACTACAGCCTCCATACATGAGGAACGCAACATTACACTAGGCTATCCGGATCTCCAACACTTTTATTAACCCAGCCATTCATTAAATCACCTATAAACTGTGTTATGGTACTGACTCTGTTCAACTGTGCAATAAAATGTTTTCTTCAGGAAATAGTGTCAACTATAACCAATAATACCCAAGCCTAAAGAATTCACTCAGGATGTCGGAACTTGGGAGAGAAGTGGTTGTCACACTATCCTACCTGTGTCATAACTATATCTACGTTTCATGTTGCTGAGGTGTCATCCATCTCTAGTTTCAGTTTGTAACAAAAGGCCCAAGGTCACCTCAGGCTGTAGGCTGCTAGGTGTTTCACAAATGGGGGTCAGGAGGTCTATCTATCTATCTATCTATCTATCTATCTATCTATCTATCTATCTATTGAAAACACCAAATAATGCATGTAGACCAGAAAAGGGATGATGTCCTTTAGTTTCAAAAGAGAGTTCTTAAATTTGACACACTCCATAACAAAACACTCACCTCCAGAGAGACTATACAGCGAGCTGCCCCCTCAGACAGCTGTTTCTGGGACTCCATTCACTAGCAGAGCGCCTCAGACGGAAACCCAATCAGATAAACCAAATTATTAAACATAACAAAAAAAAAATGTACTTAACACAATGGAAAGAAACCCAAAACACAGAGGAAATTCAGAACGTTATCTGGCCCTAAATAGAGAGTACACACAGTGGTGGAATTCTTGAGCACTTTGAATGACCCAAAACTGAGGACGGTGTTCAGACTCAGTGAGCACAGCCTCATGAGAGAGGATGCCACAGTTAGACTTTGGCTTCCCAAAGAGGACAGACTCTGCACCCAACAAGAGCTAGAAACAAAGCTGCACTTTTGAACTACCTGTCCACTGTAGGACATCAGAGACACCTATTTCCCACTCATCACAAACACAACTTGTGGATTTAACTTAATGGACCACAACCAAAAAAACGTGTGTACCTGCAGGGTGAGGACCATCAACAGCTCATAACCACCGTCAACAATATAGTATACCTATCTGTGTATCACTGCAACATCTGCACTACTTATCTCTGTACACAACTGTACATACATACAGACCATAGAGCTGTAAATATACTTCTTAGTAAAAAAATCTCTTTACATTTTAGTAGTAATCTGTATTTTGAATTAGATTTCAACTTGTATTTATGAGTTAAACACAAATTGATTTCATGTTTATACACTTTATTGTACTGCAATCCTGCACATCTCTGTTACTTTATTGTTTAATCATTTTGTTATGCTTCAATTTTCTGTTTTATTTCTATTGAGCTGTAGCTATTTAAACATGTGTTTCCCATGCTAATAAAGCCCTGCGAATTGAAATTGACAGAGACATGAAAATGTCCTGACCTGGTTTCATCCCTGCCCAATTTAGGTCTGCTAAATTATTCATATTATCTTGATTGACACAAGGAGAGCATGCCTTTTCTCTGCAACTATATCTGCCTGTAGGTTTTAATGGAGGGTTCACTAAAGGCTAGCAAAATAAAGAAATTAAACAGAAATCATCAACTTATTTTAAAAAACTGATCACACATACTCTTTCATGTTTTTTTGGTTTTTTTAGGTGGTAAAACACAAGTAATGGGGGAGATCAAGGTCGCTCTCAAGAAGGAGGTGAAGACAGAAGGAGACCAATTGGTTTTGGAGGTCCTTCAATGCAGGAACATCACTTACAAGTTCAAGAGTCCAGACCATCTACCAGGTACGGAAGTACTGTGTATGTGGGCAGATACATGAGTGAGACTTTACCATAACGTGTGTTTTATTAAATGTAAAGATCATCTCCACCCAAAAAAAATGTTTTTTTTAAAGTCTATTGCCCTTAAAATGTCTGATACTATATACTGTATTTATGTAAGGTTTGTGAGAATTATTTGAATGAAAGACTGTACCACATATGTCAGCATGCACCAGATCAGCCAATATAAAATGTAGTTGCAGTAGCCGGGTTTCAACCTGTAGAGGGCAGTCACTGCAAATTTCTAACGCAATGTGTTGAATTTCAATTCTTTGTGCTCAGATTTGGACCTGAATTGATCAACAACATTTCTTAACACTCATATACAGAGGTTTACAGCTGTGAAAAAAGGTTGTCTTGTGGTTTAGTTACTTTGTAACTAAATGGGAGGAAAGTATGCCAAGGCCAACTGTTTAGTAAGCAATAATAAAGCATATAAACTTAAACCACTTAGCATTGAGCCAATGAGAACATACTTCACATTAGCACAGTGAAGTTTTTATGAGAAAAATGATTGAGTGTGCAGTTGTGGACATATGCTAGATCCTGTAGTTTCATCGTGTATCTGCCAAAACTACTACCAAATAGTGTTGTGGTACATGAAGTCGGTCTTGGTCTTGGTCTCAAGAACGGTCCTCAGACCATTTACGCTCTAAGTGAGTGACATGGCTACTGCACTCAAGTTGAAGATTTTTCATTGATATTTGTGGTCTTTGTATTGACTCTGTCTCTATCCCTAAGTGTCTTGGTCTTGTCTCAGTCTCTGAGCATTCTGGTCTTGGGTATGTCCTGGTCTCTGTTAGTGTGGTCTTGACTACAACACTACTACCAAACAGGAGAATCAGCTTTATTATTTTAGGCTGTATTATCACTAACACTGTCAATCACAACCAACAAGCTAATGCTAACAAACAAAATTGAACATGCTATCTCAACTTAGTGCTTTCAGACTTCTGCACGTTACAACTACAGTCTCATCTGAGTCAGACTGAGGCTTCAACAAGATGCTGTATGGCTACATCAATGTCACTGCTAATGCTCGTCAACTAGATGCTCACTGCTCTTTGATCAGACTTCCCAGTCAGAGCAGTACCTGGGCGAGGTACAAGGTCTGATTCAGAAGTTCTCAGTGAGAAAGACAAGATGTGCTACTAGCCCTTTTACGTATGGAAAGCCGATTGAAGATTTAATAGATATCCTTGATATCAAAGTTCAGTTTCCTGTACTAGTCAAGTCTTTGGCCGCACTAGTTTACTAGTAGAACGTTGAAAGACTTACTAGTAAACTAGTAGAAGGCAAAAAGTCCTACATGTTAACTAGTAAGGTGCAAAATATCTACTAGTTAACTAGTAAGATATATTTTGTGTCTACTAGTTAACTAGTGAGCCTAAAAATGTTTACTAGTTAACTAGTAAGAGCCAAAATGTCCACTAGTAAGCTAGAAAGGCATATATATGGACCATACTAGCTAACTAGTTAGGATAAAAAGTTTTTACAAGTTAACTAGTAAGAGCAGAAAGGTCCACTAGTTGTACTAGAGATGGCTTTATTAGTCTTACTAGTTAACTAGTGCGGCTCTAAATGTTCACTAGTTAACTAGTAAGAGAACAAATGTCCACTAGTTGCACTAGTATCATCTTTACAAGTCGTACTAGTTAACTAGTGAGACTTAAATATTTTACTAGTAAACTAGCTAGATCTAAAATGTCACTAGTAACACTTGTTGCACAAAATGGTAACGAGGAGGTGGGGGATAAGTGTGGATTGAGGCTTATGATAGGCTCTAAAAATCAAGAACAAAAATAACATCAAATCAGGACCCAGGATTTGGTTATAATCCCACCCACTGCATTTACATATTGCACACTAGTCAACTAGTTGGATTGCAGGATTAGAACTATCTTACTAGTCGATATCTGTTTTCATTTTACTAGTTAACTAGTTAGACACAAATGCTAACTAGTTAACTAGTTAATCTCATAATGGTAACTAGTAACACTAGTGAAGATGCATTTTACCTTTCTAGGTCACTAGTAAGATAAAATGTGTCAACTAGTAACACTAGTTGGAATATTTTTAAACCTACTAGTTAACTAGTGAGGCTCGGAAACGTTTACTAGTTAACATGTAGCAGCTAAAATGTCAACTAGTCACACTACTGAGGGCGGTTTTAACCTTACTAGTTTACTAGTAAAGCCCTATACAGTTTACGAGTAAACTAGTAAGTGCCTTTTTGTCCACTAGTTAAACTAGCTAGTGTCTTTTTGGCCTCACTAGTAAACTAGTTGAAGACTTTGTGTGGCACTAGTAAACTAGTTGCAGACAAAACAGCATACTAGTGGACATTTGCTTTTGACTAGTAAACTAGTTGAATGATATAATTTGACAAGTTTACATGCTGAACAGTTAAAACCCTTTACTAGTTAACTAGTTGAACACAGATGTCAACTAGTAGTCTGATCTGTTGACTACTAGTTAACTTGTGACTGACAATTTATCTAACTAGTTAACTAGTACTGCCAAAAAGACCCTTACTAGTACAACTAGTGGACATTTTGCAATTACTTATTAACTAGTTAACTGTGTTTGGCCTCACTAGTTAACTAGCAAGGTCACACATGGTCTAACTGGTAAACTAGTGGACATTTTGACTCGTTCTAGTTAACTAGTATGCATTTAAAGCCTCACTAGTTTACTAGTAAGGCCTTGAAGACCAAAGTAGTGATACTAGTGTGCATTTTTCTTTCACTAGTACTACTAGTAAACATCTTGAGCCCTACTTGTTAACTAGTAAGGTCAATTAGACTGCAACTAGTGGTACTAGTGACATTTATGCCCTTAGTAATAAACTAGTTAAGCTTTTTGAACATCATTAGTTTACTAGTAAAGTCGAAATGTGTTTTACAAGTGTAACTAGTGGACATTTGGTCCTTACTAGTTTACTTGTAAATGTCAACTGGCAGTCCACTAGTAGTACTAGTAGCACTAGTTGACCGCATGATAATGAAGCAGGCGGGACAAGGATTTTGATTGGTCAATGTCAAACCTGCGATTTTGCCAGCCTTAAAGGGCCAGATCTGAATAGTACCTTCGGTTAAACCAGCACTAATTTCTGAAGGTTTGTTCATTTGTGTCATGTTATATTATCACTAAATGGTAACTCACTGAATGCCCTTTGATAGAATTTTATGACCCATGCACAGATTAAATCCAAATCTGATGTTACATTGTTATTCATCTTTTCAACTTTTTTGTTTTTTAAACTTAGTATTATTTGTTCTAAAAATCACTAATGATTATTCATTATTGCAGTATTTGTCAAAAAATAAACAATAACCCATCACTTAATATTTATATATAGTAGTATGATTGAATAAAATAAAATCTTGCACAACATTAATGTTCAAGGATTTTAGCTTTTTTCTTGCCATTGAAAATATGGCAATATAAAATATGAAAGATATACTAGTTTGAAACTTGCAAAGTGAAAAATTAAGTATATTCTTTTTAAATCATGAAAGAAATGTGTTTATATTTAGTTTATCTGCTAGATGATCATGCAAAATATTGAATAAAATATTAGGATTTAGGACAAGTGTATACTGAATTATTAAACTAATGTGAATAAGATGTTTTAATGTTTTTTTTTATAAATATAAAGTCAGCCTCTTACATCTGGAGAAATAACCCTTATACAAGAAGTAGCTGCAGAGAGATATGCATTTCGGCCATTAGGTGTCAGTTGCAGGATCGGTATGTTATGGACTTGCTAAATTTTCTTGGTTTAGCTTCGAGTAAGCCCAGCAGAAAAGATACATATGGCAGTGAGCAGATATAAGTGCACAAGCAACATACATTAAGATTTATTTTATCATATGAGGAGTCATGTTTTTATGATTAAAGCATAAAATTAAGATACTACTTGCAAATGCCCACCAGATGGTGCTATACTTATATATGCTGCTAATGTGTACAGTACTAGTACTACTAGTGGACATTTAGGCTCTTACTAGTAGCACTAGTAGTACTAGTAGCACTAGTTGCACTAGTTGCACTAGTAGTACTAGTAGCACTAGTTGTACTAGTAGCACTAGTACTACTAGTGGACATTTAGGCTCTTACTAGTAGCACTAGTCGCACTAGTCGCACTAGTAGCACTAGTGCTACTAGTAAGAGCCTAAATGTCCACTAGTAGTACTAGTGCTACTAGTGCTACTAGTGCGACTAGTGCGACTAGTGCGACTAGTCGCACTAGTAAAGGCCTAAATGTCAACTAGTAGTACTAGTACTGTAGACAGTATATGTACGTATAGCACCATCTGTGGGGCATTTGCAAATAGTACAATTTTTAACCTTTACTGTACATGATAAAATTAAATTTTTAGGGCTCATTTATACAATGGAGTAGAGCCATCTTAAAGAAAAAAAGAGAAAATATTAATCTTGTATATGTACGAGAATAAACATGTAAATTTAGGAGAATAAAAAAATGATGAAAGGAGAACCCCTAAAGCATTTTCCTCTGCCACAAAAGAGACAGTTTCATCCAAGTCAGTGTGGTTTTTTCTTTGGAAAATTACAGTTGCTTCCAGTATCTTTTCAGGGTCCTAATATTTTATGACAATGTGATGATGATGTGCTGATAAAACAACTTATCGGATATATTTGTCAAACTGTTTTTACAGACTACACAAGGAAGGAGCCTATTTCCTTATTTGTCAAACCTTTACTATAACAAGATGCTCCACGTTTATCATTTTTTCGAACAGGCGGCTCCTGCTCTTCTGATATACCAATATATTCTACTATTATATTATATAATATATTATATGTTCAAGTATTCAGCTGTTTTATGAAGGGAAATGTTTAAACTATTTAAGAAAATACTAAAGGGGACTTTGTCTCAATCATAAACAGTGTAGAGTATTTTAGTGTTTTTATTTTTTTATTTTTAGTCTCAAATGCAGCCTCAAAGGCTGATGTAGCTGCAACTAAACCTGAGATGAAAGATAATCCATTTATTGTTTTAAAATGAACCTGTATGAGCTTAAATATTAGATGTTTTAGTCTCTGTTTGTTTACCTATTAAATACTGAAGCTTCTAACTGAATCTTCTTGGTTTTAAGTATTTATTTTCACACATCTGAGATATGTTAAGTTGCAGCTGCTTACAAGACCCAACTTCCTCATTCATCTGCTTCAAAATAAAAGCACATGACATAGATGGTAATAAGGGACTTTTATTGTGAAAGACTTTCCGGAACTAAATGCGTTTATCACTCGGAGCTGCAGCGGCGATTGTAGTTGCGAAGGCTGTAGTGAGAAAGAGTACTCAGCCACTTCCTTGCCCAAGAGTTAGAGCCACAGCCAACTTATTTGAATCATCTTGGACTTAAGACAATGAGACATCAGTTTATAAACACCTTCAGCAGGTAGACCCACAGTAGTGGAGGTGCTTATCCGTGCTAGCTGAAGTGGCACCGAGCCAAGAAAAGGGTCTCTGTCTGTCTGTCTCTCTCTCTCTCTCTCTCTCTCTCTCTCTCTCTCTCTCTCTCTCTCTTTCTCTCTGTCTCTGTCTACGACTAGTGCGACTAGTGTGACTAGTGCGACTAGTGCGACTAGTACGACTAGTGCGACTAGTGCGACTAGTGCTACTAGTACGACTAGTGCTACTAGTGCAACTAGTAGCACTAGTAAAGGCCTAAATGTCAACTAGTAGTACTAGTACTGTAGACATTAGCAGTATATATACGTATAGCCCCATCTGTGGGGCATTTGCAAGTAGTACAATTTTTAACCTTCATTTTACATAATAAAATTACATTTTTAGGGCTCATTTATACGATGGAGTAGAGCCATCTTAAAGAAAAAAAAAGAAAATATTTGAGATTAATCTTGTATATGTACGAGAATAAACATGTAAATTTAGGAGAATAAAGTCATAAATTTACGAAAATGTACATTCATAGAGAAGCCTTCCGCCTGCGCATAAATGATGAAAGGAGAACCCCTAAAGCATTTTCCTCTGCCACAAAAGTTACAGTTGCTTCCAGTATCTTTTCAGGGTCCTGATATTTTATTTGTGATGATGATATGCCGATAAAACAACTTATCGGATATATTTGTCCAACTGTTTTTACAGACTACACAAGGAAGGAGCCTATTTCCTTATTTGTTAAACCTTTACTATAACAAGATGCTCCACGTTTATCATTTTCGAACAGGCGGCTGCTGCTCTTCTGATATAGACTTAAACAAGAAATTAATCTCGTACATTTTACTTTATTCTCATAAATTAACTATTTGAATCTCTAAATTTTAGGTTTTTTTCCTTTTACGTGGCCCTAATCTTGAATCCCTTTATTTTTCTTAGTTTACCGACTTTAGGCCAAATTAAAACGTATTAAGTACAAGAACATAAATTCTGTATCAAGTTCCAGTTGTTTTAAAGTCCATAATTTTATCTGATTAACTTTTTCCTTTTTAAAAACAGCATGAATTTATATGAAATATTTACACATTCATTTTTAACTTACAATTGCACCTTGGGCAGTTTTTTTATCACTCTACTGACCTCAAGATGTACTCTTTCTTATGTTTTCTGTAAATACTGTCTTGATGGGATAAAAAAGGAAAAAGAAAATCATGAGAACAGTTCTAAAATGATCTTCTATCTTATTTTAAGTTTATAAAACAATTCTAACATTTAATATATATATAATTTTCATGTTTTACTCTCCATGGAAAGTAAGGAAGAAGCCGTTGCTTCACAGCACTTGCTCCTTCTTACAAAGGGTTAAATTTGTGGAAGGTGGAGGTCTATATGGAGAACCAATGATAAGGTTCAGAGAGTGCCCTGATCCCACCCACTCATTAGCATGTACTTCAACCAGTGTTTCTAGTACGCATTTTGGCTTTCACTAGTAGTACTAGTTAACATTTAAAACCGTAGTAGTTAACTAGTTATGCCAAAAAGAGTACTACTAGTGTAACTAGTCTCATTTTGGCTCTTACTAGATAACTAGTTAACCATTTTGAGCCTCACTAGTTCACTAGTAGCACTAAAATGTCCTGAACTAGTGTTACTAGTTGGCTTTTTGCACTAACTAGTTAACTAGTGGACTTTAAGAGCCTCACTAGTAAACTAGTAAAATTTGTAACTGCATCACTAGTGATACTAGTGGACATTTGGGTCTTACTAGTTAACTAGTAAACATTTTGAACCTCACTAGTTTACAAGTAAGGTTAAAAAGAGTCAAACTAGCTTACTAGTGGACATTGTTGCTCTTACTAGTTAACTAGTAAACATTTTTAGGCTCACTAGTTAACTAGTAGACACAAAATATATCTTACTAGTTAACTAGTAGATATTTTGCACCTTACTAGTTAACATGTAGGACTTTTTGCCTTCTACTAGTTTACTAGTAAGTCTTTCAATGTTCTACTAGTAAACTAGTGCGGCCAAAGACTTGACTAGTACAGGAAACTGAGCTTTGATATCAAGGATATCTATTAAATCTTCAATCGGCTTTCCATAAAACTGAGCTTTGATATCAAGGATATCTATTAAATCTTCAATCGGCTTTCCATATTTTACGTCTTTTTAAAAGTTTGTTTGGTAACTCTTCATAATATCCATTATTAAGAAAGAGTAAATTGATAGTTAATTAATTTTAGTTCCTAGGTATTTAACTGTTGAATCAATTAAATGGTCATTAATAATGCCAAATAAACATTAGCAATGCTATAATTTCTGTTATTTTGTCATTAGTTTGTGTCAAATCAAATAATCATATTTTGTAACTTAGTCGATTACAGACAATAACAATCACACTCTGATTACATTAGTATACTACATAGAAACAGTGTGATTGTTGACACCTTATAACTCTTATTAAAATGTATTAATATCATATTGTTAATGATAACCAAATGATTTGAAAGCTTAAAGAAAAAATTGCCATTATTGGCCACTAAAATGTATTTTAACAGTTATAATTTATTAAAAAAAGAATGTATTAAACTTCATAATAGAAATCAAAACACAGTAATATATGCTCTGAACTGTCTGTATTAATCATTTACAAAAAATTATAAACAGCTGTTGTAACTTGATAATAACCTCCCAAATAATGTTTATAAATGGTTTACAAACTAATCATTAACCATTAACAAAGTATTATCTAGCTATGTAAATAATTGTACATGCTTTAATGTTTTTTTACTTTAATTTCTTTGAGCTTTTAAATCATTTTGTTATCATTAACAAATACTCAATACAGTATAATAAGTGTTGCAAGGTGTGCCACAATAAACTGTTAATAAAAGCTTACTAATGTGATCAGTATTGTCTATTACAATATATTACAACAATAACATTATTCATGATCATTTCACTGATGGTAAATCAGTTAGTTCATTGATCATTAACTAAAGTTAATTAAATATCACTTTAGTGTGTATTAACAACAATATTTTGCAGGTTTTCTAACCCATGTTCCTTCTTTTTTGTTTTGCCCTCAGACCTGTACGTAAAGTTGTATGTGGTGAATGTCGCCACTCAAAAGAGGATCATCAAGAAGAAGACCAGAGTTTGTCGACATGACAGAGAGCCTTCTTTCAACGAGACCTTCAGGTTCCCCCTCAACCCAACTGGACACTCCATTCAGGTATGGCAGGCACCTAAACGTTGCCGTCAGATATGGATCTGTCTGTCTGTTAAACACGATAAGTCTCACAAAACTGCGACAACATTTTTAACATTCAATACTTTTTTTGCACATTGCTTGATAATCCTATAACAAATCTAAACAGTTACAACAACAGGACAACAGATTAAAGGGCTACTTCACCCATTTGCATTTAGCTTTGTATCATTAGAAACCTGGTAGTATTTTTGAATGGTCGTGCATCTTGCCCTCATTTTCCCCTGAGACGAGAAATCTTTGTATTTCTATGTCTGAAAAGGAGCTTCCGATGATGCAAAAATCTTCATTTTACGTCACTGGAAGCTGTTGCGGTTAGCGGGGTGAAACTACAACACTAGTTCCTCATATTTTTGACCACTGGAGCTACAGACCAATCACAGATCAGTGGGTGGGAACTCACTCCCATAATCAAAACTTAACATCCACCATATTGCTTGGAAGCTATGCTAACAGACTCTATGGAGAAAGCTGATAATGGCGAAAAAATATAAATATAGCGGCGAGACGGCTGCTGCTGACAGGCCGGTCTTGTGTCTTGGCTGCTGCCGCCACTGGCCACCGGGGGCCGCACTATGTAGATTTGGTAGTGAAATTTTTAAGTTGGAGAAGTGAAACAATTCTATGATATATTTTCTGAACTAAATACACAAACTTTGCTACCAGGAGAGTAACGGTTTCACTCTTGCAGGCCCCCCACCATAACTTCTCGCGTAGCATTTTATCTTCAAACAGTTTTCCAGAGACCAAATTCTCCTCTGAGGACAGTTTGTGTTTAGAGTTATGAACATATACCACATAATCTGTACATTTCTCCAACTTTCACATGCCTCTACCAAAAACTCCACAGTGCACCTTTAATACGTTTCTCTCTTCAATGTGTTTCCAGCTTTTCTTGGTGTCAAACGGGGGAAAGTTCGTGAAGAAGACCCTGATAGGGGAAGCCTACATCTGGCTCGACAACGTGGACATGAGGAAGAGAGTGGTCAGCTGGCACAAGCTGTTTGTCAGCTCCACTCAGACCAACCCCTGAGCACCACCACCACCACCAGAAAAAAAAGCAGATGTGCTCGAGCCACGGAAGGTGAAGTCGCAATGATCTAGAATGTACTAGACATCTGATTTGACAAAAAGATGAATGAAAAAAAAAAAGAGAAAAAGCAACAAGAGGAATGAAATGGATCTAGTTGAAGTCCTCTATCTGTTCTTTACTTTCCTGGTATGCGTTCTAAGGAGGAGGGAATGACGTGCTAAACACCATAACAACTGTATCAGTCCAACACTGCCAGCACACACCCACATCCTCACATGTCAAGAGTCTATAGCGGCTGTGGATTGCTTTTGAGAGCATTGTTGCCTTTCTATCCTTAGTTGTTAATGCCCTGATGCATATGAGACTTTGTTTTGGTGCTGTGCAACTGAGCTAACATATCTATTTGAGATAAAAGATAGAAAAAAGATGAATTTCCCTTGATCAGAAATCAAAAACTTTTGTTTGTTGGCATTTTGTGTTTTTCTTCTCACACGAGAGTTGTCGTTGTAATGCTTGAATGATGGTTGTGACGTGTGTGGACATCAGTGCTCTTGACATAGTTTATGATGAAGGAATGCAAAGTGTTTCTGTATAATAGTCTTAAAGTTCTGTGTAAAGAGAAGAAAAAAAAAGGCATTATGTATTTGTATAAGTCAGAGTTACGGATGAGAACTGTACAGCACTTCAGATTGTACATATCTCACATGCAGGTTTCAGAGCATATCAGAGAATCACATTGTACAGTGTGAGGTTTATATAATACACAAAGATATCAGATTCAGTATATATCTAAATACAGTACACTGTATAAGAGTTATTCATCTGTCACTAGACTATATATATAGATATATATTCAAATATAAACACATGATCTCTATTAGACTGAGGCTGTGGGTGGCGCACTGACAATCCAGTAGGCTACTTGAGGGTGTAGGCAGTCATAATAGCTGTTTTGTGAATGTGGACCTATGTGAGCTAACGGATGCTCATGAAAAAACAGCTCCTCGGTCCTCTGATCACGCTGATGTACCACTAAACAGATAATTTTTCGGTTAAAAGGGCGAGATCCGGTGACCTCATTGGCATCATGTTGTGAAGTGCAGGTCAGAATAACTATTAAATGAAAGTTGAAGTCTGAATAAAAACATGATGCATTGAATGTTACAAGCCAACTCTAGAGGACGACAAGAGTTTAATCACACCTGTGTCATGTGTACATTTCACTTTCAAGGCTGTTGTAAGTTGCTCAGAGTAGACTTTGTTTTCTGTAGCCCATGCGGTGATTCTAATGTCAGAATGGACTTCTCACAAGTTGTGTCAAAAACCATGTGTAGATCTGCACCTGTCATTACTTCACAGTATGGCAGCTCTGCTTACTCTGTGTTAGTGAAGCCCCCCCTTGGTCTGAGTTTGACCAAAAATGTATTTCAATATGATGAAAACAAAACAAACAAAAAAAAAAACAAGTTAAAATGTCAAGGTTCCCACTGTTTGTCTGACTGTGCTGTAAAACTCACTGTGGTGTTTTGTGTCAGTGACTCCTGTTTCAACACAGTGAACCAGCCTCTCTCACTGCCTGTGAACGCTCACTCAGGCCTGCCAGGGTTCAGTCCTATCCGGGGGACTGAGGAACACATAGGGCCAAGTGTCTCAGTACGCATGAGCAGCAGAAGACCCCTGTATGTGTCTTGTAATGTTTTGCCACCAGAGCAACATAAAAGTGATGAATATAACTTATCGAGTGACCCTCAGAGCTAACTGTCAGTGTGTTAAGGCATATCAAAGGGATGATGCAATTTTTTTTTTTTTAAAGAATGAAATATTTAAAACGTCAAACACACTTAGAACATGATGTCACTTCAATTTCAACAAAATAAGAAGAGAAAAGAGAAAATAATACGGAGGGGATATGTGGCAGGTTTTTCAGTAGTTACTTTGCTGTGCCAATTTTTTTTTAAATTATTATTATTATAGACCTATTGGTTCTTAATTCTATGCAACATAAATGTGTTTGAATGCATTTGTTTTTTGAACTAAATGTTATGTCTATGTTTAAATATGTCGTATAGAAAAAAAGAACTTTAATTTGTACATCCTTGAAAGAAAAGATTAAATATATTGAGTTTTTTACTGATTCTAATATAAATTGATGTTAACGTCTGTTAACATTAACATTACGCTTGTGCACTTTATTATGACATTGTTTATTTTCTTGTCTCATTTTAACTGTCGACAACATGCAAGTTTATGTGTTTTTTTTGTCTCTGCACTTGGAATGAAGCGAATGACGGTGTACATGGTGGCAGAAAAAATCTTTGGTGTGCATTTTGTATCAATGTTGCTAAAAAGAAAACACATGCAGACATGTTGGGGTTTCCCAAACACAATGCACAATGTAGGCAGAAGTAAATCTTAAAAAAAACATCATGCTCATAGTTGAACAGTCGGTGTACAAAGTACAATAAAGAATCACAATCCCTCGATGCTCAGTCATGACTGTTTAACCCCTCGTGTTTTATCAGACATCCCTCCAGGTCCATACTTTGTTTAGGTCAGCTGTTGCCTGTTATTGTGAAACCATCTATGTGTTGTCGTTCAGAGGGGGTGTGAATGTGACTCAAGTCCTTTGACGTGTACATAAAGTGTTTATTTTCTACAAAGATTGAATGTTTATATTGTCTGAAGTTTGAGCATGTGAGTGTTGAAAAAAAAAATCACATTAGACTTAAAAATTGTACAGCAATGCGTGTCTATAGTTGTATAAGGGGATTTGACTGTGTTATCATGTGCTGTCAACCAATGACTATCTGTGCAACCACGTTCCTGTAAAAAAAAAACAGCCGAATCAACACAAAGGGGGGGAAAAAAAAAAAAACTATCCAACTTCAATATATGTCTGAGACTTTATGTTTTGGATGTTGCATGTTCTGTTGATGGTTTGTCTGTATATTTTGCCGACACATTATGTTTTAAAAAGAGACAGAATATGTATAGATTTATCTGTATGCTGACTGTAAAGAGAATATGCTTGTACAATTTGTCTTGTTTTTCACTCAGTGTAAAAACAAAGAATCTAATGTCATGGTTTTGTGGTTGTACACAGGATGTGTTGAGATAATATGCAAATTGTGCTGTAAAAGAATCAGCTGTTCCCCCCCTATGTCTAAAGAATAAATATTAAGAAGAGCTATATTACACCTGCAGTCTGGATTTTTGTTTTTGTCTTCAAATCAGAAGACTTTGTACGTTCATTTTTTCTTTTTCATTTGAAAATTAGAACTAAATTGTGGGCTCCACCATGGTGCAGTGGTTAGCTCTGTTGCATCACAGCGACAGCTCGAATCTTGGTTACTTGGGCTTCCTCCAAGAGTCCAAAGACATTCACCTTATAGGTTAATTGGTCGCTCCACATTGCCAGTGTGGCTGGTGATCTGTCGATGTATTTTCCCCTTGTGGTTGACTTGCGAACAGTCCAGGGTGTACCTCATCTGTGCCCAATGACAGCTGGGATGGTTCTCCAGCCCCCTGTGACCCCACAACGGGAAACGCGCATATAGCGGTATAGATAATGGATGGTTGGATGGAAGGATGGAACCAAATTGCATTTTCAATCATTAAAGGCTCTACAAACATGCATTGAATTGATCTTCAACAGTTGAAATTCCTAATATTACCACTAGATGTCGCCAAAAATGCATTTATTGTTTTATTCCTGTGCTCCCTGAAGACCCTGTCCTCTGTCTCCGCACATAACCACTGACAAGTTAGCACTAGTTGAAAATTAAGTGACAACAACTACAAGGATTAACCGTGAAATGAAAAGTTACCAACAGAGTTGCCTTAGTCTGGTGACAGACTTGGACATGATGCAAGATTGAAGTCTTAAAAGAGACGTCAAAAAGAAAAATAATGATGCTTTATACATAGATGTCAGTGGAAATAGATGGATACAAATGCAACTTAATGTTAGTATATGTTTTAATACAATATATGACTGATTTATGTGTTAGTCCTGTTAAGTTCTGATGTCTGGTCACAGAACGTGTGTTAGGGCACAGAACTCATCCGAAGTCTTCACACTAGTGACACACTAGTGTTTCAAATGGATACATACATCTGATTGGAAAGCGGGCTTGCTCTGGATATTATTATTTCTAGAATCTGACTGTCTGTTGTAGTCTGTTTTGTGCTGTTTGGTGACTAATTCAAACCAAATTCTGAGAGAACAGACTGGATGAATTGCAGTGTACAATAAAATAAGCCGCTCCTGAGGCAGGTTGAACTTCCTGAGCTTTGCACATAAAACTGTATACGCTGCTGGTCGCCCACTTAAGTTCCTGGGAGCTTGCAGATCTGAGTTATACCTGAAGGTTTCAACAGCCCTCCCACTGCTGTTGAATATTTTTGATGAATTTTTAGGTGTCAGAGGGGCTTCTCCTGCAGGCCACGGTCGTGTCTACAGATTTGAGCATGTTTGGCTCAAGGTTGTTATGACGACCAAAACTGGAGCTGAACAAGCTGAGACAAGCTACTGTCCGAGACTTGACTTGTGAGCTTGTATATGCAGGGACTTTCAGGATAGCACTCACTACAATATCACATTTTGGTAAATAATAATATTAATAATAATAATAATAATATTAATAATAATAATAATAATAATAATATTAATAATAATAATAAATAATAATAATTATAATTATTTATTATTATTTGTATTATAAAATAATAATAATAATAGTAAATAATAATAAAAATAATAAAAATAATAAAAATAAAAATAATAATAATTAATAATAATAATAAAATACCAACAAAACTCAAACGATTTTTACGCATAAGAACGAATAAATGTAGTAAACAAGGCCTTTCAAGTACATACTGCATACGTGTATGACAGCATCGACCTTCAGTAAAAGATTGTTGTGATTCAAATGCACTGCCACTAGATGGTGGTATGATCTACCAAATAAACTGAACTTCATTTGCTTTTTTTCATTGGAATCACGGTGATGATATTTAGTTCCACAGGTGATTCTCTCTGCTGAACTCAGCATTTGCAAAAGGCTGATACCCCCAAAAAATATATCTTATATTCATTTTGTGCTAATTGATATGCTCAACAATAGTTTTGTTCATCTGGGAATTCTCACTTTGTGTGGAGTAAAAAATAAATGCAGGACTTTGGTGCACACCAGGTAACACAAGTTTTTTTTTTGTCTGGGTCTGTCTGAAAAATGCCTTTATCATCTATTCTGGTTATGTAATTCTGTCTATTTCATGAAGAGAGGTGTAGCAGTCCGGACAAATAGTCTGACACCTCTGTCTACCCAGGACATAGTGTGAGATGTTCCCAATTAATTACAAAAAAAAGTATTGAAAGAGGATGTCTGCTGAGACGTCTGCTCTTTGCAATGATACCATTATGTTTCTTCACTTCTTGCTACCCCTTCAGTTCTCACATTCCTTTTCCCCCATCCCATCAGCAGGTGCATCGGCTCCCCGGGCTGGGGGAGATGGGTGCGAGGGAAGGTGTAGAAAAGACTGAGAATGTTGAGAGGGGGGATGTGGCTAGGTGTGAGGGGGGATGAGAGGAGTGGAGAAACTGAGGGGCGGGGGTGGAGAGAGCAACAGTGCGGCAGAGCGAGTGGGGGGAGAGTTGGGAATGGGAGAGACAAAAAGAGATAGAAAGGGGGGAAAGAAAGGGGAGGAGGGGAGGGTGAGAGGACACGAGAGATGGTGTGTGGTTGCCTGGCAACGATTGATAACCAAATCCCCAAGCATCCTGGTTTTTGCTGCCCTGCCCTCCTCTCCAGGCCTAAACACACACACACACACACACACACACACACACACACACACACACACACACACACACACACTAACACTAACATACAGTGCAAACACTCACGCAATCCAAGTTGATGTTATCACTCCGTTATTCATTCATGTTTGAAGTGTTGATGCTCCTGTAAATTAAAGTGATAACACAAAGTGGTTTCAGCCGATGTAATTGTGCAAGAGCTTATATATATATTTCATATATTCTAGGTTGATGTTAGAATGCATCACACAGCTGTAAACTCAACCCTTATGAAGCAAATACGATTGATGGCACAGAGATTCATTGGGCTTTTACTGTACTTTGCTTTTACGGATTTTACCCTACATGTGAGAAATCAATAGTTCTGTCACAGTAGCCCTGATTCCCATGTGGGACAGCTTCCCCCGCCCTGCTGCCACTCGAGCCATCAGCATGACTGATGGCGAGCGCTGGCCAAGATTATGCTATCAAAGCCGGTAAATTCTACCATCCCTCCAGGTACTAGGAACTGAAAGGTTGTAGGGCATTTTAAAGAGCTTGACCGGCTTTTGTATTCACTGCACGACCCTTAGTGTGTGTGTGTGTGTGTGTGTGTGTGTGTGTGTGTGTGTGTGTGTGTGTGTGTGTGTGTGTGTGTGTGTGTGTGTGTGTGTGTGTGTCAGACCATCCTTTCAGCAGGTGTTTCTTTATTGGGAGGTAAATAAAACTATTTGTAGCTGCTAATAGGGAGTGGTGTACACCGTGAGCATCCTCCTTGGACAAAAATCTAAATACATAGGTCTATTATTTCAAATATTCACATAGTATAATATGTATGTTTAGATTTTTTACTAAGCACTGTCACTGCTTTAAATGTTGCAGAGGCGATAGAAATGCTGATATTACAAGATTTAAAAAAAAGCATATGTGTTTTCCTTGTTCGATTAAAAAGTAGAGGGAGGGTGTGTGTTTGTGTGTGAAAGAGAGAGAGAGGCAGAGAGAGAGGGAGAAAGAGAGAGAGAGATCTCCAGCTTCAGTACCTGTTAGAGCTCTGGATGGCCAGTTGATCAGATTAGAGGCGTCAGGGCTGGTTAATCTGTGAAGGAGGGGACAGACCGCCACTCACGCTGCTCTAAAGTCACCGCTCCCATTCACCGGCGGAGAGGCGGAGAGCGCGGCGGGGAATTTCCCCCTCTCTCTCTTTTTTTTTTTAAAACAATGGATACCTGCAGGGTGCGAGCCTGGGTGTTTCTGCTCTTATTCTGGCAGGACGGGTCTCTGGCATCGCAGTTTCCGACACAGCTCATGTAAGTATACGCGCCTGTAATCCAATTTCGAGCGGCAGACAAATGTTGTGACTGTGCCTTGTTTCAAGTGCACACCGTTTACAGACTAAGTATCCTATCACATGTAATGAGCCACTCAAGGTGTGTATAGGCTGTACTGTACGTGCAAGCCTGTGGAGGGGTGTGTGGGGGGGGGTGAGAGCTTCATTCATGCCCCGCTGGTCACCGTGATGGACGCAGGTTTGAGGGATGACAATATTTCCTCCGTCCTGCTCCACACCGGGCGGTGATTAATGGAGTTAAAGGGAGTGACTCCTGTGGATTATGTGGACACAGGGAGGACTGACACAGCTCCATATGAAGTTTTTTTTTGAAGAGTAAAACCTGCTGGTTCTCCTGGCTGTGATCCTCATGAGATTGTCTGTCATAATAAGATTTTTTTTTTTTTTGTGGCTAAACAACCCTATTGGTCAAAAGCAAAATGACTGTGATTGAACTTTATTCCTGTGTCATTATTTTATTTTTTATTATTGTTTTTATGCAATATTGTTTCCAGAAACTTTGTATGAATTCCAGTTCATGTGTAGGTGTCCTTATGTCAAGCTAAACGGTAAAGGTTAATTTATTTATAATCTTTGTGCAAGACTATAAAACAAACAAATAGACTAACAAGTAAACAAGATATTTAAAAAAAAACACACTAATAAGTTCAATTAAAGACCTGTCTCTGTATATAACAGAGAGACAAACAAACAGTACTGCACAGTTATTATCTCTTATCTCATTTTTAAGAGATGCCTTATTAACGTAACATGTGTTATCACCGTTTACCTGTTTTTAACCTAATTTGTTTTATATAATAATTAACTGCAATTTAAAGATTAGTCACTGTACCAGCCTCGATAAAAATCCTGTGTTTTGTCAAACCCATTTATATCACTGATGGCCGACATAATATAACTAATGCCTTTCAGTATGCTGACAGCACCAACTAAAATTCACTTATAAGCCCCTAGCTGATATTGAATCATATTTCTCAAGCTTCGAGTTACTAATTCAAGCCTCTGAGCTGCAGATCAGACCGCTGCAGAAGTAAAACGATACATTACAATCTGTATTATGGGCTATACCATTTGGGATACCCACAACTAATGACTGTGAACATAAATGAAATGTGCAACCTAATAGTGACACCAAATAACTATCCAAAAATCAAAACGTCGCCTTCTGCTTAATATGGTGTGTTTTGAATTTAGAACTTGTGAATGAGTGTGTAAATGTGTGAATAAGCAGAAATTTGATTCATGAAGTGCTTTACATTGATCATCTTGCATGCAAAAAACAATTCAAAAATTGCAGATTTGACTTTCCACTTAACTTACCACATGCATATTATATGTTCTTATAGGTTGTTGTGTAAAGACATTTAATGTTCATTTAAGATTTGAGCGCTTTTTACTTGCAGAGCCGAGCATCCATACAAACTGCACATTACACTGGGAGCTGACAAGTCTGCCTTTGGTTTGCTATGGTGACGGTGTTTATTCAGCATCACTATTTTTTTGTATTTCCATGGCCTCTCTTCTTTTATGTACGCTTGATGAAAAATGTTCCATTGAAAGTAGAGGTTGATGTAGAGGGCTCTCCAACTGAATTATCTGCAGGAGAGAATCTACAGCCTGAATCCTCTACAGGAGAGTCATCATAGAAAATAAAAAAAACACATCTATTTTAGCTTAATGTTGAGCATAACAATGTGACATAACAAGCAATTAAAAATACATTTAATATTAATGTCCATCTGCAAAAGATACCACTAAAAAGGATGTTAGACTAGTAATACTAATGGTTGGTATATCCCTATAAGGTAAATGGTGTTGTTTGGAATATACTAAAGGTGAGGTGCAAATGAATTTATTCTGGAAATGGGCTGAGAGAAATTAAAAACTACCTGGATAAAAATGCATCCTCATGGATTTGATCAAATGGATGGAAAAAGAGAAAAACTCTGATGATGTTAAGTACTTTTTGCGAACTGGAACCAGGTGGTTCTGTGCCTCTTTATGACCCTTAATAGCTCTGTTGTTCTGGGAAACGCTCTGGAGATGAAACATTTGCACTCCCTTAGATGTTGGGAGCAGTATTTCAAAGTGAGTAAAAAAGAAAACACAATATGGTGTTGAATTTATTTTATTTTTTTAAAGCTTATTATATTCTATAGCGCTGGGCACGCCAGAGCTTGAACCAAAGTAATGACTTTTCATTTTTTGTAGTATGTTGGCCGGGTCTGAAGAAGGACTGAATTGGCCACATGGGTGTTAGCGTATGCTATACAGAGCATGAGCAGAGCACCGCGGGTTGTTTCTGCTGCAATACTGTTGGTTGTTTTAGAGCCTCGGTCTGCTTTATCTGAACTGGACTGGCTTCTGTCTTAGCCTCTGTAATGATGATATGTAATTAAAACTGTAGTTAACACAGCCTCCTGACTGAGACGTATACACTACAGGGCCAGCTCATTACTCTCTCTCTCTCTCTCTCTCTCTCTCTCTCTCTCTCTCTCTCAGCGCTGGCGTGACGGTGCCACAACATCTGCCGCCTCTCTCTTTCTTCCATTGTCTCTCCGCCCTCTCTTTCTGCCTCGACTCTCTCGTTTGGCTCTTCCTGTGTCAGAAAAAACAATGTAGGGCAGTGTCTGACCCAGTTGCCATTTATACGTGCGTTTTGTGTGTGTGTGTGTGTGTATGTGTGTTTAATTATCCAGCGTGGTACCAGAGGCTGCAGTAATCAAAAGCCCAGCAACCAGAGCAGAAATATTTTTGCTACCTCAGCTTAACAACCATGACATTATTAGAGCTAAGAGCATCTGTAAAGTGCACGCATTATGCCTGTGATAACACTGTAATGATGATAAGATAATTAGCATCACTGTACTTCATGTAAGCATATGGGATACAGTATCGCTGTGAGAGCAGGAGAAGATCCTGCTTCATGGAGTTCAACCATAGCGGGCTAAGTGCAGGTTCTCACCTATGGCATTTTATAAGTGTTGCCATTAAAATATGGCTTGGACCTCGAGGTATTGTTGGATAAGCGCATGATTTAAGGGTGAGGAATTAATGCATGGTAAATGAGATTTACCATGCCTGGTGGAGAATACGTCTGACTATTAAAGGCCAAATGAACAAGGAGATTTATAATAGAGAAAAACAGACGTATAGCTTTGGGGAGCAGTAGTGTACTTTTTTTTAAAATGGTCCTTTACTGTTTATAATGAGCCAAGTCAGCTTTTTATAGTTTACTCCCTTTTGTCTGCACGTTGTTGTGTTGGGTATTAAACGTATGCACACACAGGATACACACAACAAGGACTCAGGATTGTGAGTTTGTTGTGAGAAGGAAGAGCATTTTTGCAAAGTCTTTGGACATAAATATTGTAGATTTTGTTTTCCGATAACGTCATCTATACATGCAAGAGGAACACATGCCCACATACACTGCACCACAGCCGGAGGTTATGTCATCCATTTGTCAGCACCTGAGAGTTTTTTTTGTTACACCGGTAGCAGTAGATTTCACTGAAGTTAAACTCTGGAGAGACGTCCCTCTGCTTCTCTGAATGCCAAGTCCCTGAAAGCACAAACACACCCACACACACACACACACACACACACACACACACAGACTGCACAAACGCACGCTCACACTTGTACACATAAACTCTCTCACTCAGAATTGACTCGTCGATGCTTCGGCCTTAGAGAGCTTAGGGTTCCAAGGTCCACTAAAACACCTTACAATCAGTTTGTTTGGGGACAAGAAAAAGTCGGGGCAAAGGAGAAGAGACGGGAGGATCAAGTGAACAGAGTCTAAGATGTGGAATTATCGAGTAAGAAGGAGGAATAAAGAAGGGAACAGAGGATTGATTTTTGACAAACACAATGCACAGAGTCAGAAAGTATACTCAGTAAGAGCCGTAAAGAATCGGATTTATGAGCTCATGATGAATCTGACTGGTTGAGTTCCATTACTTAAAATGCTCATTCCTAACAGAATGACTGAAAACTGTAGGTTAACACACTTAGCATTAGGTTAATATGATTATTGTACGAGTGGTGTAATTATAATCGTACACAACGACTATGATCTATGTGGCTCAATTAGCAGCAAATGGGAAGTAATATTTATATACCATTCGAGACAGCATTCATTTAATCATAATCACCGTCCCTAGATGGAAAATTTGATTAACTTAAACATGCATGGGGAAGTCCTCTGGTGAAACAGGCAGTCTGTAACTTGGTACTCTACTACTCCAGAGCTGTCAAAAATGGGAGCAGCAGACGAAGAACTACGGACTCTGAGTTGCCAGTTTGAGTCAAGTTCCAGAATAAGTTCTCATGATGCAGCTCATACGGTGTGACATCTTTCAAACTCCATTCGGCAGCTCGAGCCTCGCTGCCATCGAGCTGCTGCAATCGTTGGAAAAGTGTTAGCTGAGACTTATCTTATCAATGACATATCATTATTGGCATATGGATTGGCCGACAGACAATCAGGTAAATGAACGACGTGTTGGAGTTCTTAAGTGTTGTCAATGCATCACTTGTCAGCAACAGAGCACTGACACGTTTATTTTTAGACTTGAAAAGTGTTGAAAAATGGGAATTCTTGTCTGAAAAAAACGTTGTGTCATGTTTTAATGTAAAGAATAAAATATAAAAACCACATTACATATTCATATTCATTCCCCATCAGTTTGTGCCTCAAAAATACAGTGGAAAACAAATGCTGCTTTATTTCCCTGAACAGCCCTCGGTCATCCAGCACCACTGTACTTTTTTTTTTCTTCTGTAGGAAGCTGAAGGCTGAAAACACACAAACAAAGCGGGCTCTAAATCACTGTTGCATCCTGTAATTTAGTCAGACTCCTATGTTAGTTTTTCCTTGGGATAGCCATAAAGCTCTGCCAAGCCTCTTGTCTGTAGTTTATCCACAACCTCGAAAACCTGCAGGCTGAATAAAAAGACTGGCCTCGCTCTAACACCTACACCTTCCCCCTTCCTCTTCCTGAACTGTTTTGAACTGTGCTATCCTGCTGCTATTCCTACTCATGCAAAAGTGTCTTTTCTTTTTTCCACAAGCACGGTTCCTCTGTATTTTCCCATGCACTGTGGATTTTTTCATCCCTGATGCATCTTTTCTGCACTTTCTGATCTTCCCTACCTTTTCTCTCTGTATTTACATACTGCCTCCTCGCTTCAGCCGTATTGAGCGACAGTTGATGTTCTGCGCACTGTAACTCAGACTTCTGCAGACAAAGTGAATGCAGTCTTTTTATGTTTATTTCAGTTTTTTTTATGCGAGTACATTATGAGTGTTGTGGAGGATCACAGTGGATTTAGAGTGAATGAGAGTATCTGTATTCACTGTTTACCTGTTAACATTCTCATACAATATTAATGCATCTATCCCACTGTGCATGTAAGTGTTTGTGCATGCATGACAGCTTACATTGTGAATTAATGCATCCACATGCACACATGTATTATGCTCCTACAAGCCTCTCGGAGCAGGTAGACACATCGAGATGAGCCAGATTATTCTCAGAATCCGCTGCGTCGCTTCATGCAACATCTCCAAGGTCCTTGCATCTGTGTTCGGGGTGAAAGGAGTGATTTACTATTTCAGTGTATTAAAGCACATGCTGCAGGGGGCTTACTTTGGTTTTGACAAGATGATTGGAGGAGGATGAGAGGGAAGGTATAATCCAGTGTGTGGCACCGGCAGGGGCAGACCCTGAACGTCCCCTGAGCTCTTTGATGTTCAGAAAAGCACGCCGGTCCTGGCCTCTTTCGCCTGTCCTGTCACATCAGCGTCACAGCTCACAACACAGAGCCGACACTTATCCGATTGGTTGACTTCATGTTTGAACTCTCAGAAAGCGATCGTATTGGTTGACTCCTCCCGATGACACGTGTTTGATTAGATGCCATTGAATCTGTTCCCGTTGATTCAGCCAATGATTGGTTGACATTTTGTCTGACCTATCGGAGAGATTCTCTCAGGCCTTGTTGGGTTTTTTTTACGCTGCGTGTCCGGATTGGTTTGTTAGATGATGGATGTTAGATAACTTCATTGACAGTTTAATTGTGAAAGGCTGTGATGTGTCTTCTAAGCTGGTTACAAGATTGATTTGTGTGCGTTTCTCTTTTGTCCCCGTAGGATTAAAGAATGGGTTGATCAGATGCAGAAAGAGCTCGTCACCCTGGCAGACACCGCCACAGCCGGGAAGAGCCTCACTCAGGTACAACCCCTCCGTCCTCCACCTCCACCTCCACCTCCACCCCTACACATATAAAGAAAGTGAAATCCTACAATGTTATGAACAGTATCCCCCAAAAGAGTCAATGTGTCAAAGAAGTTGAATTCTTTCTTGTTTAAAAGTTCCATTCCTCTCAACAAAAAAAAAACTGTTTTATTTTCAGCAAAGCATAATATATGTGTGGTGTTTTCATCTAGATTTTCCTGAGCAACCAAAACCTGTACACTGTGGAGCAAAATGACGCAGAGGAGCTGGTGGCCAGAGCAGCAACAAAAATTGAGCAGCTGCTGCGGAAGAGGTCCGCTGCCTTGGAGGTAAGACTCACCACTATTACAGGAAACAACTTGTCTGTTTGTGATTTCACATCGCTTTTAAAGCCGAGTACAGGAAGACAAGTCATTATGATCCAGCACCACAGAAGGAATGTTCCATCTGTTTCTTGTTAGGATATTGTCGACGTGAACATGTTTATTTAATAACCAAAGACCATGAGGTGGACTAGTTTGTCCACCTCAGGAATTTTTCTAGCTGAAATGTTTTGTTTTTTTAAATGGCTGAATGTAACCACGGGGGGAGTGGATAGACGAGGATAAACTAGGAGAGCAGATTTAGCTCTTCAAACTTTCACCTGGAACACGTTCCCTTTTGTTCTCAGCAGTTTGTCTTTTGGAGGGGGGAGACCTGGATTGAACCCACAACTGTGAGCCCGAGGGCTTCAGCTGCAGAGCTGTAGTGTTGGTGTGAACATCTCATGGTGAAAAGTTTGAAAAGAGTGCAATATTCATTAAATGTTTCCTCTCGTTCCTGTTGGGCATTTCAAAGAATTAAGCACACATTTGTAATAACTATTACACTATTCAGATCCAGTTGATTAAGTTGATGAAATGACAGTGAGCTATCTATTTAATGATACATTATCCACTGTTAGTGATCCATTACAGAATAATTGTTTAAACAAAGAACTATGGCTGACATATGGTAAATGGACTTGAGCTTGTATAGCGGTTTTACCCATACAGTATGTAGAGTGACCAGTTGCTGTTTTACCACCATCTGACTTTTTGTCTTATTCCTGACCTGCCTGAGGTTTGATACTGGTTCTTAAAGGTGATTCAAGTTGGTTTGATTAAAATAATATATTATATTATATATATTATATATATATATAATTGAGTATATATTATACTCAATTATATGCCATTTTTTGAGCACCAGCATGAAACCAAAACAACTCGCGCTGCATTGTTGTGTTAGCATGCTAATACTAGCGATCTTTATTATGCTGGTATCTTCACACTGCATGTAAATTTACCTGAAATGAGCGTGATCTAGAAACACAGTTAAGCAGTGAGTACAGTATGTTATTCTTCTTTTCTCTAGTCCCTCAATTAAACAACTTTTATACACGAGGGGAGGAGTCAGCCGGCTGTCCTGGCGATGTAAACAAACTGAAGATAGGACTCTGAAAACTCTGAAAACATCACAGACAGTGGGACTCGGGTGTTACACCCATTGTAGACAGTCATGACTCACAGAGTTATTTTCAGAGGAGATACTTGATTTATATTATATTTAAGTGTGAAAAATCACATATAAAGACTTTAAAAAGAAGAGTGTCATGTTCGAAACATTTAACTAATCATCCCATCACAGTGCCCCAGGACTTCTCCTAAGCTGTTGGATAAATGTACTTAGTTATGGGACTTTTAAAAAAAAAAATTGGGGGGGAGCTTTTTGTTTCTCTATTGTAGAGATAGGACAGTGGATAGAGCCGGAAATCAGGGAGAGAGAGAGAGAGTTGGGAATGACATAGAGGAAAGAGAGCAACAGGTCAGATTTGAACCCGGGGCCGCCTCCGCACACGGGCTGCGTGCACCGACTACAGCCCCACCAGCACCCCTATAGTCTGAATGTTTGTAAAAAACCACTGAATGAAGCATGCATACAAAATGGTAGAAAGTGAGGAGCTTTTTTTTCTGCAGGGTTCAATGTGATAATGAGAGCTTTGACCCTGAGGATGTTCACTCTTTCCCCCCTCTCACATTTGGTCCTTCTTTTTTTTTTTTTACTGTAAAGTGGGTCAGAGATGCTCATCTATATGTGTATTGTATTTAAAAAACAAACCAGAGGGAGTCATCAGCATCCCATGCTCTGCCTTTATAAGGCTTCCCCGCTGTTGTCTTTTTAGCGATGGAGAGGGAGTATTTATGAATGTTCATAAACACATCTCCTGCTAAGTGTCTGCCTTGTGTATGCTAAGTAAACATCCTGGTGTTCTTATCATTTTTCCGAGTACCGGTGCCATAAGAGCCGTAAGCAGTAAGCAGAAAAGTTCCATCAGCTGATAAAAAACGAGAGAAAGTTGCAAAGAAGTTCCAGCCTATGTGTTTTTCTAAGTGTGTGTTTAGATGTTAGGTGGCCTGTGGTTGATCAGCTAGCCTGATGCTACCAGTCAATCCAACCCCCGGTCATCAATCACACCTCGCTCTTTATGGCGCCTCATCTGTTCCCGCCAGTAACCTCAAGGCGTGATGATATGAAATTCTTTGTTCGGATGGGGAGAGTAATGGATGACGAGAAAGAAGGGAAATTGCATGAAAATGACGGATGCATAGGGAGATAGACAGGCAGATTTAGAAAAAGGAGGTCAGTGCACAGGATGCTATCATGAGACAATATAAATTCATCTTTGAGAGATTGACAAAAAAAAAAAAAGCCTTACTTTTACGGGCTGCTTTAGGCTTCAGGCGCGGACCATATGTAATGCAGAGATAATTCAAATCAGAATGTATACATGAATTGAAGGGACTGGCTTTAAAATTCATCAAACGGGCAGGAGAGAACCTTCAATGAAGGTGTGAGATGCTTTCTTGTTCAGTAGCTTTTGGAGACGGGAATGACTCTCAATGTCAAAATAATTGGAGGTAGCCCAAGGCACACGAGTGACTTTAACTTTGTAATCAACTACTTTAACTTTGTCCTCCGTTCGCCTCGATGTCTCTGTCTCTGATCCCTAACTCTGCGTGATGACAGATCAGAAAGCCACAGGTGTGTGTGTGTGTGTGTGTGTGAAGCATGTGTGAGTCCATGTGTGTCTGCCAATCCTTCCATAAATAAATGTGTGGCAGAGCTTCACATGCATATTTAATGAGTACTTGGATGCACACTGTTAGTGAGTAAAGAATTTACAATGTGTACTGGGGTTTGATCTCAACAGGAGCCCTCAGGTACTCAAACACATTAGGCCAGGTGGAGGTGGGGGGGCTGCAGCTACCCCTGCTGGTAAGAGTAAAACACAGTGGAATAACCTTTTCAGACATAAACGATTATATCAAATGAAATTACCCTAAATCATCAAATAGTAACCAGTAGTCAATTAGTGAGGCCCGGCCTCTTATTACAGCCGGTATAGGCGCGGCCCGCAAGAACACATGAAGACCGCCCCCTTTTAAGCTTGTTTAACTTGTTATTTTAAACATGCTTTTTCTTTTAAACGTAGCGTCAATGTTACTACTCAGGAAATCAAATGCTGTACTCAGACCAGCACTGCAAGTCAACAGAAACACCCCCGGAGGGAGTCAGTAGACGAAATTATCAGAAACAACGTGAGAAACTTAGTGAGTCAGAGAAAAGTAAACATGGTGTTCTCTGAAATGAGAAAAGCAGACACAAAGAAAGAGCGGTACGTAGCCTCATAACGTATGATTCTATGCGCCGGTGATTGTTAACTGCAGAAATGTTCAACATCACTTTGAGACAAAGAACACATCATGAACTTTAATAAGGCATCGGGTATTTGTTCAAACTCACTTTGTACTAAACTGCAATGAAACTTCTCAGACAGAGAGCATTTCATATAAAGGCATAAAGAGGCTCATAAAAAGCCTCCTTCATATTAAAACTGTACTTTCTGCTGGTGAGTAAATAAAGGAACTGGTTATTGTTTGAGGATTTACAGTAAGACATTTGAATTTCTGTTCTTGTGGATGGATCATTTTTTTGAGTTTGAGTAGGAGAAATTGTAAGATTCAAGAATTAGATGCAATCTCTTTTACTAATATAGTGTTATTGTGAGCCATCACAGCTAAAAGTTTGAATGTGTTTTATAAACTAACTCACGATACAGATTTAAACTTGTTTCTATGTTGCTTGGCAGCTGCTTCCCACTGAACAATACAGTGTTTTCTTCTGTTTGGAATCCTGCTGTCCTCTTGTGTTCACAACACATGGTAGAACTAACCCACAACCAACCTTTGATGAAGAGCGAAGGAAAGAAATGCAAAAGCTGTGAGCAGAGAAAAGTGATCTGAGTGCCTTCACATTTTTAAGAAACAGTCTCTACAAATTAAAGTAGTTCCTAAAAGTAGCAATATTTAAGATATTTACCGACTTAAATCTTAAAATGACCTCATATCATCAGACATTAAGGAAACATGCTATGTTAAATACAAGCTTCTCTGACAATAAAGCAGCAGCCAGTATGTCCTATACTCCTAAGTTTGGATTCCAGTCCAGAATAGTCTGTGTTTTTTTAACCAGGTGGTTTTAAGGCACTCCCACAAAACTGTTGTGGATGCCCCCTTGGTTTTTCCAGGCAAACAGCAAACCAACTGGTGAAGCAGGCAAGTGAACTGATTCAGGTTTATCTTTTTTTAAAATGGAAAACGCAGAAATGTTTCAAGACCAGTGCAGAGCTGCTTAAAGATTGAAGCTTCAGTGTCCGCAGCATGGCAACCTGTGAGCGTTAACTGGTGGGCGGGGGGTTAGAGTTAGCTTATTCTACATATTCATGTGTTTAAAATTGAGACTCTTTGATCAGAGTGTCCATCTCTGTCAGCTCAGACTAACTTTTATTAGTTTTTATTAGACCACAAGTTGCCATGGTTAATGAAGAAACGTGTAATTGGACAGGGCATTGGCGCACACACACACACACACACACACACACAAGAATATGAAGCTGCTTAGGAGTCATTTGTGTCAAACCGTACTTCTATCTCTTATAGAGAGAGACAGGGAGAGAGAGGCAGAGAGTCACAGAGAGAGAGAGAGAGAGAGAGGCGACTCTTTTAAAGTTGTTGACCACAAAGTGAAAGTGTATGAGGTGCCTGAGGCTTTATCTAATTACTTGCGCTCATCTGCCCCTCCCCTCACACACCAGCCTGTTCTCCCTTTGTCTCTCTCTCTCTCTGTTTACTCTGTAATTAAAAACTTATTTATTGATGCTGCAAAACTGTTCGGGCAGAAGGCAAGCTGATAAAAGACTAAAGACAGACATCTGCGCAGGCTCACACATCAAGGTATTGTCTATAGT